GTGATGTTTGGAGCCAAACCCTAGCCCCTCTGACTGGTGCCTGAGGCTTCCAAAATGGTTGCGACAGCCCAGCACATAAAAATGGTTTGGCTCTTACAGCAGTTCTCAAAAGATATATTTGGCTCCTGTGATTTGCCAGGATCCAGGGTTATGACCTACTTAGCTCTGGTCACCTGGCCAGACCTGCCCTGTGGCCACCGTGCCAAGGCAGGCACTCATACACAGCCTCCCTTGCTCTCTCCATGCCTGTGGAGTCCAGATTTGCAGCTTGGTGAGAAGCAGCTCTTGGCGTCATGGCATTCCCCAGCCCCCTCCCCCATCCACCCACCTCCAGAATTTCATCACTGCTTGTTGTGCCTCTAGCTCCAAGGAACCAGAGATCTGTCTGTTTTTGGTAAATAACTGTATGAAATTCCCCACCCCTATTAGGAATCTTACGGGGAGTCCCAGATGTGCTTTCCTAAATGAACTTCTCCCCAGCCCTGAAACAACATGGTTCTAGATCTCCAACCAGGAGCAGTGACAGTAATAGTCAAATGTACTGAGCATCACACATGCCAGGTGCTTTGCATGATTGTTTCCTTCGTTTTATAACCAATTGACCTCTGAGCCTCATGCCCAGCCCTGTTTTGTATTTTATTTAGAGACAGAGTCTCACTGAGTTGCTTAACGCCTTGCTTTTGCTGAGGCTGGCCTTGAACTTGCGATCCTCTAACTCAGCCTCCTTAACTGCTGGGATTACAGCTGTTGGCATAACGCTACTGCGCTTGGCAACAAGGGCTTTTATAAACCCCATTTGACAAAAGAGACCAAGGCTCAGAGAGGTAAAAGGACTGGCTCACAGTGGTGTTGACTTAGGTCTTGGAGTTATAGCTGGATTTTGAACCCAGACAAGTTTGCCTTTTGAATATGTGTTTTCATTCAGTATGCTCTGCTAGGTAACATGAGGTTGGGGGAGCCTAGCGAGGGCACATTATACACACGGAAATATCATACCTTCCCGGACCATCTGGGTTCAATTGGGCAGGTATTCATTGGGCCCCTGATGTGCCTGTACTTGGGGCCAGACTTTTCTGATCTGGGCAGGAAACTAGAGGTTCCATCCCCACCCGTCATCTGCAGCCTCAGCTGGGCTCACCCCAAGGGGCCTGAGGCTGCACAAATTCCTTGGACTAGTTCCAGTACTCATTGATGCTTCCCAGTCATGGGAGGCCCGCCCTTACCACCACCACCACCACTCAGACACATGAACACACATTTCCTCAGGGTCAGCTTCCATTCGTCCAAAACCACTCTCCCCTTTCTGGGCAGTAGAACAAGGTCTTTCATTGAACCCAACCCTTAGGGCTGTTCTGTCACGTCCCCTGGCAGTACCAGAGGAGAAGCTGTGTCCCTTAGCCCTGGGGTCCTGGCAGTACTCTGGGGTGGGGGAGGGACTAGACAAGGCCTCTCTGTCCCAGATGCCTCTGGCTACCCTGTAAGGCCCAAACAACAGCAATTGAGAATGTCAGGGTAGGGATGAAGGGACTGTGCTGGTGGAGAAGGGAGAAAAACACCCATCACTGAGCCACATCCTGAGAGTTTACTATGGGCAGACTCTTTCAGATGCTTTATATGCATCACCTCCCTGAATCTTCTCAGTAGTCCTGTCATCCCTGTTTTACAGAGAGGAAGCATATTGTCCAGGCAACATTGCTGCATGCTGCGATTAGGATGCAAATTCTTTACTTTGTCCCTATTATTATGCACTATATTTCTTATCCAGAACTGAAAACTTGCCAGGCACAGTGGTACACACGTGTAATCTCAGCGGTTCAGGAGGCTGAGGCAGGAGAATCACAAGTTCAAAACCAGCCTCGGCAACTTAGCAAGGCACTTAGCAACTCAGTGAGACCCTGTCTCTAAATAAAGAGCTGGGGATGTTGCTCAGTGATTAAGCACCCCTGGGTTCAATCCTTAGTACCAAAATAAATAAATAAGAACCCAAAGCTAGGGACTATATCAGGGAAGGGTGGGTGCTAGAGAAGTTCATTATCATGTGACCCAGTGAGTGCCAGATGGAGGTGGGAGAGCAGGAAAGACTAGATTCCCTAACTTTAGGAAGGCCTGTCCCATCTTGGAATGATCTTTAAATGTGGAGGTAGCCTGGGGAGACAGTCTTGTGGTCATGGGGCGCTGGTTCAAATGAAGATAGAGGGGATGCAATTTCCTAACTTTGAGTGGCAGTTACTGACGGGAATCTGGAAAGCCAGCCAGGGAATGGAAGGGGAAGAAGGGAGAGTCCACATCAGAGAAATAGGTTGTAGTGAAAATTCTTCTCAATTCCAGAGGCAGATAGAACTGGGTTCAGATCATGGTATTGTCACTCACTAGCTTTGTCACTTGGGGGAAGTGAATTCACCTTCCCAAATGTTATTTATCTGGAAGATGGGAATGCTAAAAAAGGAGGGGATGAAAGTCAGTCATACTGTTCATATAGTGGCAACATGGCAAATGTTCAATAAATGTTATCCGTTGTTATTACCGTATTTTTAATGGTGATAGTATTAATTCTGTTATTAATTTGGGGTAGTGCTATGGCCATAGCATGAGTTGACCTTAAATGAATAAATGGATGAATTTCTGGGTACTTTAACAGGGTTTCTCTAGGAAGCTTGGAGCAAAGAGAGCCAGGCCAAGAAAATGCACGATTTACATAGCCAGGAATTGGGAATTGAGTGTTTCATTTTCCTGGGGTTACAGATTTAAATAGAATTAGAAGTTAATGGGAATTCCAGGCCACAGATTTCTAAGCAATTCATTAAGAAAGAGGGTTGCAGAAGAGACACTTTTCAAATTTCTATGCAAGGAACCAAGTATATATCCTGCATTATGGGCAGAAGAAAGAAGAGGCCTTTGGATTTTTTCTTCCCTCCATACTAGGTATTGAACCCAGGAGTGCTTTAACCACTGAGCTACTTCTCCAGCCCTTTATATTTTTTATTTTGAAACAGGGTCTTACTAAGATGACAAGACTGGCCTTGAACTTGCAATCCTCCTGCCTCAGACTCCTGAATTGCTGGGATTACAGGCGTAAGCCAAAGCACCTGGCAGTCTTGGAATCTTAAGGCTTAAGAAACTTGCATTGAAAGACCCTTGGATGCCTAGGTTTCCTTATGCATGCCTATTCCCAGCTTCTCTGTTTCCTAAGATAGAAGATTGGATTGTGCTTTTACAATCCATGAAAAGGAAGGAGCCATTGTAAAGTATACTACCCATAATACTAATTGTGCTAGTTTTTCTGATGCTGTGACAAGGTGCCTGAGAAAATCAACTTAGAGGAAAAAAATATTTATTTTGGCTCACAGTTTGAGAGGTTTTAGTTTATGATTATCTGGCTCCATTATGCTATGGGCTTGTGATGAGGCAGAGTATCATGGCAGAGAGGACATGGTAGAGTAAAACTGCTTGCCCATGGTAGAGGGGAAGTGAGAGAGAGAAGGGCCTGGGGCAAGATATACCCTTCCAGACTAGTTCCCAGTGATCTACGTTTTCCAACTAGACTCCACCTCCTGAAGTTCCCACCACCACCTAATAGTGCACTCCGCTGTGAACCCCATCAGAGGTCAGAATTCTCATGACTTTAATCATTTCCCAGGAACCTTACCTGTGGACATTGCTGCATTGGGTACCAAGCCTTTAACACATGAACCTTTAGGGGGACATTCCAGAACCAAACTATAACAGTAGTTAAAAAAAAAAAAAAAAAAAAATTTCCCAAGGACTTAGTTTATTCTGTGGTCTCAATTCCTAGCAGCCATACCAGGCAGGAATAATTCTGAGTTCCCCTCTAAAGACAAAGCAGAGCTCAGGAAAGGGGCTGCTATTTCCCAAAGTTACATGGTTGATGAGCAGGGAAGTGACATGAGCCATATCTCTACCTGTTCATTTTCATTATCCACTCTTTGGGGGTCTTAGTTTTGTCCACTTAGCGCCAGCTTCTTTGCCTCCTTCCAGGATCCTACCATTAGCACATTTCTCATCATCCTGTGAATCATCATCTTGACTACAGGTGTGAACCCAGTTCCCCAAGAGTGAGTTGGCCTTGATCCTTGAACACTATCTCTTCTTTCCAAGTATTGGTGTTCTTTGTCCTTTTTCAGCGTCATCTCCATCCTCTACTTTGTTTAGCTAATCACAGAGTAACAAGGTTTTTGAGGGGGACAGTCAGACCTGCAGTGGGTCCTTCCCAAAGTCTCCTTTATGCTGCCAGCCTGGGGCCTTATTCTTAGGGTGCTCCCTTCTGGGTGATGGGGAAACCTTGGCTCATTACTCAGGTTCTCAGATATGAAATGAAAGGAGAGGTCAAGATGACCCTGGCACAGAGGAGCCAGGGGAGTCTTCCTGGAGGAGGATAGGTTTAGGCATTCTAAAAGACATCAAATTTAGTGCTCACTTTAACAGAACTAAGCTAAAATTGGAACAATACAAAAAATTAGTCTGAGACCCACTCAAGAGCAACTCCAAAATCTTGAAGTGCTCCATATTATTTTATTTATTTATTTGTGTCATTAAAGAGAAGAAGAAGAAGATATAGAATTTGGGCAGAAGGAAAGAGGTTGCTGTAGGCTAAAGCCTCAAATCTCAGCCTGATTGCGGAAGGTTGGATGAATGTAGGGTTTAGAGAGCCCCAGAGAAGATGGGAATATGCTCTAGCTGAGTCTTCATCTGGAGGAATAGATGGGAAGTGCCCTGGAAAATGAAGGTGATATTGGGCTGTAAGTCTTGGTGCAGGGTGCCATTGTAAAACTCCTGGTGAGGAACATGACATCCTAGTGAAGTTTAGGAAGATCAATCAATCTGTATGTACGTGTGTGTGACTCAGACATGAGAGACAAGTTCAAGCATGAACAGAGAAAGGAGAGGAGGAGATTAGAACTGAGGGAGTAGACAGTGGATTCTTGGGTTTGTAGTTGTTTCCACCCAGACTCTCCTGACATTTCTTCTTATCCCCTCTGTAGCCATCGTCAGCCAGTGGCAGCAGGAATCCAAAGAGAAGGTGGTGTCCCTCCTGCTGTCCCACCTCCCTCTGCTTCAGCCAGGCAACACGGAGGCCAAGTCGGAGTACATGAGGCTACTGCAGAAAGTGCTGGCTTACTCGATTGAGAGCAATGCCTTCATCGAGGAGAGCCGCCAGCTGCTCTCCTATGCCCTCATCCACCCAGCCACCACACTGGAGGACCGCAATGCGCTGGCCCTCTGGCTGAGCCACCTGGAAGAGCGGCTGGCTAGTGGCTTCCGTACCCGGCCAGAACCCTCCTACCACTCACGCCAGGGCTCAGATGAGTGGGGGGGGACTGCAGAGCTGGGCCCTGGAGAGGCAGGGCCAGGCTGGCAGGACAAGCCACCCCGGGAAAATGGACATGTGCCCTTCCAACCATCCACCTCGGTGCCGCCAGCCATCAACAGTATTGGGAGCAATGCAAATACAGGTGAGGGGGTATTGCAGGAGGCCATGCCTGAAAATGGCCAGACTGGGCTCTCTTTACTCATTCTGTGGCCTTGGGACTCCCATAACTTCTCTGGGCCTCAGCTTTTTTAAGTAGTACAAAGGTTGGGAACTTGCACTCCCAGAGCCAAATTGGACCTACAGACATATCACTGAATCCACACTTTGGTTTTGTGTTTTTACATAAATTTAGTGAGGCTGGACATGGTGGTTCATGCCTACAATCCCAGTGACTTAGGAGACTGAGGCAGGAAGATCATAGGTTCAAAGCCAGACTCAGCAATTTAGCAAGACCCTGTTTTAGAATTTTTAAAAAAGAAAAAAAATATGGGAATGTAGCTCAGAGGTAAAGCACCTTGGGTTCAATCCCCAGTCCTCAGTTCAAAACATAAAATTTGCTTAATTTATTAATTTAGTGATATTAGATTTTTCCCCTTAAAATCGAATTTCCAACTTCTCTTGAGAAGTCCAAAGATCTGGCAGCTCAAGGCCTGTATTCTCAGCAGCAGCAACAATAGGAGAGGAAACTGAATATCAGCCACCTGCTTTAAACTCTGCACATGTGCAGCAGCCTACCTCTGACTGACCCAAACCATCTTTGAGCATTTCTGGTACCTGGCCTCCGCCACCTTGAATTTGTGACCCCCTGGAAGAGGAGTAGACACCATCATCTGAGGTCCCTTCTAGCTCACTGGCTGCAGTGAGCTACCTTTAGCTTACAGTCTTGCTTACAGTCTTTCTTCTTAGATATCTTTTGTGTTTGTTTGTTTGTTAATGTAAGATATAACTCCCACTTGTGGTGGCACATGCCTATAATCTCAGCTATTTGGGACACCGAGGTAGGAGGATTGCAATCTCAAGGCCATTTCAGCAACTTAGAAAGACCCTATCTCAAAGTTTAAAAGGTGGGAGATGGGAGCCAGGCATGATGGCATGTGCCTGTAAAATTTGTGAGGCAAAATCACAAATTTGAGGCCAGCCTCAACAACTTAATGAGACCATGTCTCAAAAAATAAAAAGGGCTGCAGATGGGACTCAGTGGTATAGTACCTCTGGATTCAATCCCTAGGACTGCAAAAAATAAAAAGGTGGTGACGGGGAAAGCACCCCTCGTTCACCCCAGTACCACACGAAAAGAGACATATTCCTGCTGCAAGGCATTAGTAATACTAGGTAACGTTTTTGAGCACTGACTGTGCTAGGTACTCTTTTTTGCGTGTGTGTGCATAATTATACACAGTACTGGAATTCATTGTGACATACTGGTACATGCACATAATATAATTTGGTCAATTTTATTTCCTGGGCATTCTTTGAATAAACACTGTTTCAGATATGATCTCATTTAATCCTCATGACAGTCATATCATTAGTCCCATTCAACAGATGAGGACACTGGAACTCAAAAAAGCAAAGTCACATATTCAAGGTCGCACATAGAACAAGTGGTGGAACTGGCCAAGGTTCACACCCAACCATTCTGATGCCAGAGCCGGCCTCTGACCACTGTGCTGTCCTGCCAACTAAGTGGGCTTGAAAGTCTCTCTTAATAAGCGCCCTGGAGGCTGGGTGAGCAGGGGGAGGTGGCGTGGCAGTGCCTTTTTGAAATGTTGGTCGAAATGAACAGGGTAAGAGAGGGTAGGGTGGCTTTTCTAAGTCATGGTGACATGGCATGATCCTAGTTGAGGCAAGGGACCATGACTCAACCTCAGGGTGGCCAGCCCCCTTCAGCAGGCACTGGTTAGAGCTGCTGTGGAATGTCACAAGTGTCAGTAGAGAGGGGACGAATCCTGTAATCCCAGGAGTGTCCAGTTCTCTGGTACCATGTGCACATCAGTTACCCCCCGCCCAGGCTATTTTCCCCACAGTTAATGTTGATGTCTTGGTCAGCCTGCCTAGGAACTTGTAAAAACCTGGGAAAAGAGAAAGATAGGAGGGCATTTCCAGGGAATTCTGGCAACCTGAGATGCCTTGGACCTCCTTGTCCAGTCTTAGAGCACCATAGTTCCTGGATCCCTGTTGGGAGAATATATTAATAATGATAATTCTGGTTTAAAAATGTTGGTCGCTGCCAGGCATAGTAATGTATACCTGTAATCCCAGAGACTTGTGAAGCTGAGGCAGAAAGATGGTAAATTGCAAGCCAGCCTCAGCAACTTAGCAAGGCTCTAAGCAACTTTGCAAGACTTTTGTCTTAAAATAAAAAGGACTGGTAGTAAAGCACCTCTGGGTTCAATCCCCCCAGTGCAAAAAATAAATACAGTTTTATATACAGTTTATACACACACACACACATACACATATACATATGTATAAACAAACATACACAACTGCTTGGAGCTCTTCTAAGAACTCTAGATCTGTAAACTCAGAAACTTGGCTGAGTCAGTGAAGTCACTTGCCCAAGATGGTATACCTAGAAATTAAATGTAGGCAATCTGGCTCCAGAGCTTATACTCTGAATTACTGTCTTATGTTTCCTTCACCTAGAAGTGACCCTCTTGGAGATCTATGCTCAGACCTCATAGGTCACCCATGTAGGGTAACCTCTCCACATCTGTGCAGGTTTTTGGTTCTGTTTTTCCCTTTGGCAGTACTGAGGGTCAAACCTAGGACCTTGCACATATTAGGCAAATGCTCAGCCACTGAGCTACATCCCCAACCCCAACTCCCCAGCAACTTTAAAGACTAGTGTTGGAATAGGGGCTTGAACCAAAAGAGAAAAAAATTGGGCATTCCACACAGAGGGCACAGCATGAATCAGAGGCACAGGAGTGACAGAGGGGACAGCATATGGCAAGTATGGCTGTGATGAATTTACATTAGTAATAGCAGTAGTAGATACTTATGTTTACCATGTGCCTATCATTGTGCTATGGACTTTGTGTGGAAATGGAGGCAGAGGGGTGAATGAAGTGATCTGCCGAAGAGCACACAGTTCAAAAGTGGCAGAGTCAAGATTTGAACTTAGGTCTTAGGGCCACAGTCTTGCAGGGGGACAAGACCAAGCTTTTGGATTTCAGGCAGTTGCAGGAAACAGGAAACCATTAAAATATTTTTGAGTAGGAAGCAAGGATTGGCTTGGGAGGGCAGGCAGGGTGGGTTTGGGGTGCTGCCAAGGACAAACCAGGGTTTCTTGGAGAGTATGAGGCCCCGGATCTCTGGCCAGCATTCCTGTTTTTATAATTCTCATGCTGTGGCCAGCCTCCACCCCAATGCAGGGCCAAGCAGGGTTCCTCAGGAACTACATGTCATGCCAATCAGAATAATTTCCTGCCCTCTCAGCCTCGCCTGCCCCCTTCTTGGCTGAGAAGAGAGGAAGGAGGAGGCTAGAGACACCAAGACAGCCACAAAGGCCTCTATTGAGATTCTCCAACCCCCCAGGCCCAAAGTGTGCCATTTTTCTTTAGAAGTCCCAAGTGGAGCAGAAACTAAGGCCAAAGGAGTCTGGAGACTTGGAGGAAACCCTAAGTAGAAGATCCCAGAGGTCTTTGTCAGGGACAGGTTGAGTTGGCCTTATGGGTTAGCCCGTGAACTGCCCACTCCCTCAGGTGACTTCCTGGCTGTGAGCATCAGTATTGTCCCAGATAGTGACAGAAGGTGCTTTGGGTCCTGCACCAACCAGGTTGGCCCTCCTTCCTGGACTGGGTGTCAGTGGAACACTGGCAAGAACCCCAGCCTTTCCATTGAAAGCAAGGCCCAGGCTCCGTGTCTCTGCCTCTCAACTCCCTGTGGGAACTGGAGCAAAGGGCATGAGCTTCCTGGGCCTTGATGTCCTTACCTACCCAGGCTTTTTAGCTTTGTTTACTTTTCTTTTGCTCTCAGCTAACTTGGGAGGGGCTTCAGAATTCCCTGTGTCAAGGGCATCTTGGTCCCCTTAACATCCTTTTATCCTTTATGAAACTGTTGAAGCACTTCTGTGTGTCATGCCCTGTGCCTAATCCTGGGCTTGCAGAAATGATTGGGCGGGTCCCTGTCATCCACAAGCCCCCAGTCCATTGCCTGGGGCTGGCTAGTGAGGAGAGCCGCAAACATCATCACCAGGCAGCTACAGAAAGGCTGCTTGTATGAAGTGTGGAGACAAAAGCAGCTGGTGGAGAAGGTGGGACAGCAGTGGCTGGGCAGTGGGAAAAGGCACATAGCTATGTAGGAGAGCCTGTGGTGATCCCCTCCTGTTTTGGGAATAGTTAAAAATCACTGGTGTGGTGGTACACACCTGTAATCCCAGCATCTCAGGAGGCAGAAGCAGGAGGATTGCAAATTCAAATCAGCCTCATCACCTTAGGCCCCAATTTAGTAAGACCCTCTCTCTAAATAAAATAGTTTAAAAGTGCTGGGAATGTGGCTCAGTGGTTAAGCACCCCTGGGTTCAATCCCCAGTACAAAAAAGTCAAGTGGTAGCTGGGTGCCATGATGCAGGCTTGTAATCCCAGCAACTTGGGAGGCTTAGGCAGGAGGATCACAAGTTCAAGGCTAGACTGGGAACTTACTGAGACCCTGTCTCAAAATTAAAAAGGCTCTGGATATAGCTCAGTAGTAGAGCACCCTGACTTCAGTGCCCAGTAACAAAACAAAAAAATGTTGGATCACCCTGTTTACCTCAGAAACAGGATGGACAAGAGAGTGTGAAATGTCCTATGGAAGAGGCCCCTGGGTTTACCTTCAGCCACCAGACCTCATGGGTGGCCAGTTTGGGCTTAATACAGAGAAAAAACAGAGATGTGAGGCCCAGTGACATGACTCAGAGCACATACTTTATCCATCTCTAAGTACTAATGAAGCAACTCTTCTGGGCTACGCCCTCACTATAATTGCTAAGGATAGAATGCTGTTTAAGAGAGGACAAGTCCCTGCTATCACAAATCTTCTATTCCAGCCAAGGGATTCGGTAATAAGCAAGTAAACAAATAATGAGATAAGATCATTTCAGGTAGTAATAGGTGCTGCAAGAAGATAAGGCAGTAATTGGGATTAAGGGTTGGGGAGGCAGTTATTTAAGATTGAATGTTCAATGTAGGCCAGAGGAGGTGACACTTGAGATGAGACTTGAGGGAGCCAACAGCTAAGATTAAAAGCACAAGAAGAAAGAGCAAGTTCAGGGCTAAGGATGTGGCTCTGTAGAGTGCTTGCCTAGCATGTGTGTGTGAGGCCTGGTGTTCCCAACACCACACGCATGTGTGTGTGCGTGCACACACACACACACACACACACACAAGAATCCCTTACAACAGACTTTGAGTTTTCCAGGGGCAAATGGGGATCCAGGAGAGGTGAAAGCTACAAAGACTTGAACCAAGGGCTGAGTGTGGGAGATGAGAGGTCAGAGGTGAGCAGGGGCTTATTTACCTTCTAGGTATGTGGAAGAGCTTGAATTTTGTTTTCACCATGAAGGACCCACATGAAGTTAAGCAGGGAACCATCTTGATCAGAATTTGTACTTTTTCAAGGATTAGTGTGGCTACTTGGAGGGAAAAGGGGGACTGTAAGAGGCAAGAATGAAGACAAGACAGGTAGGGTGGCACACGCCTGTAATCCCAGCAACTCAGGTGGCTGAGGCAGAAGGACTGCAAGTTTCTGAGGCCAGCCCTCAGCAATTTCACAAGGCCCTAAGCAACTTAATAAAACCTTGTCTCAAAAAAATAAAAAGGGGGCTGGGGATGTGGCTCAAGCGGTAGCGCGCTCGCCTGGCATGCGTGCGGCCCGGGTTCGATCCTCAACACCACATACAAACAAAGATGTTGTGTCCGCCGAAAACTAAAAAAATAAATAAATAAAAATATTTTTAAAATAAATAAATAAATAGGGCTGGGGATGTAGCTCAGTGGTGAAATGCCCCTGGGTTCAATCCCCAGTACCAAAAAAAGGAAAAAAAAACAGTGAGGAGGCTGTGGCAGTAATTTCCAGCCACATATGCTGCGGCTGGATTAGCCTAGCAGGGAATGGGGATAGTCAAGAGAAGTGGCTGACCATTTGCCAGGGAGTTGGGCTTTGGGTGAAGGAATGCTCAGTATCTGGTAGGTGGGTATCTCTTGGACCCCACAGTCCCTTCCCCTTGGAGGATTGTGGCTCTGAGTGCCATCACAGCATTGAAGGCATGGTCTCTTGTAGTCAGATACCCAAGCCTGACCTCTTGCTTCTCCCTCTCTGGCCAGGTCTCCCCTGCCAAATCCACCCTAGCCCACTGAAGCGCTCCATGTCACTCATCCCTACGAGCCCTCAGGCCCCTGGTGAGTGGCCAAGTCCAGAGGAGCTCGGTGCTCGGGCTGCTTTCACCACGCCCGACCACGCACCCCTCTCGCCCCAGAGCAGCGTGGCCTCCTCTGGCAGTGAGCAGACGGAGGAGCAGGGCTCCAGCCGGAACACTTTCCAGGAGGACGGCAGTGGTATGAAAGGTACAACAAGGAGGGCGAACCAGGCCCCGCTCTAGGGCTTCCACTGAGCTTAGAGGACAGAAAACTTCTGCCTGTCACCTGCCTTCCCTGAAGAGGGGACAGGTCTGTGAGAAGTAGATAGTCCCTATACTTTGGGTTCAAGACAGAGCTGAGACCCCCCCCCCCTCGTAGGCCCTGGTGTGATGGGGAAGGAGCCCCTACCCTCGACAGTTTTATCTGACAAGGCTACCAGGACAGGCAACTGATAGAGGTTCCAGGAAGATGTTTAGAGAAGTCATTGAGGTCATCCTGACATCTTAAAGGGTCAGGTGTCCTACCCAGGGGAGGCACCTGAAAGGTCCCTGCTGAGTAGATGAAGAAGTAGCTTATGATCCCACCCCCTCCTAGTTTTCTGGAGCTCTTAAGACTGCCTATAGTTTCTGCCCGGTCCCTCCCTAAAGCCTCCCCCTGTCTGGTCACCAAATTCCTGACCTACCTCTCTCCCTCCTTTCCTACAGATGTGCCCTCGTGGCTCAAGAGCCTCCGTTTGCACAAATATGCAGCCCTCTTCTCACAGATGAGCTACGAGGAGATGATGACACTGACTGAGCAGCACCTGGAGTCACAGGTGAAGCCGAGGGAACTTCATGGAGGTATCAGGGGCAGTACCATTTGGCACTACCCCTACAACCCAAGCCTCCTGTCTCTTTGGTCCTTTTGGGACACTGCCAATTACTTCACTCTCCCATTTCCAGCTTCTTGTCTCTCTCTGTCCTTATTGTAGAATGTCACCAAAGGTGCCCGCCACAAGATAGCCCTGAGTATCCAGAAGCTGCGTGAGAGGCAGAGTGTCCTCAAGTCCCTAGAGAAGGTGAGAACCTGATATCCCAATCTCCAAGTCCAGTGGCTACCTAATGGGACCAGGAGACCAAAGGCTTTGGGTCCGCCTTGCTGCCAGCTGCCCAGCCATCTCTCCTCTGGGCCTCCCCTCTCCTTAGATCTCACCTCCAGTGGCGTCAACCTTTCGGAGCCAGATTCTAGGGTCCATATGCAAGTTGGCATCAAAGGGCTCCCTTGCTAGTTGATAAGAGGCTTCCCTCCCTGTTGGCCCTGGTTTGTGATTCCAGAAGGTCTCTTCTAATGCCGCCCCTTCTTTTTCCTTTTGTTTTTCCGTTTCTGACTGATCTGTCTGTCTGGTGAAGGAGAGTGTCTGTGTGTGTTCTCTTTCCATTTGATTCTTACCCACTCACTCTCCTGCATCAGCCTGTTTGCCTTCCTTTTCTCCCTTTCCCTGCTCCTTGCCCTCTGTCCCCGCCACCCTGTGTCTTGGTCTGAATCTCTGGTTCCTCCTGGCTGGATCCCTGAGACCCCAGCTTTAGACTCCCTTCTCCCGAGTTCTGTGGGCCTCCACGCCAAGGGGAAGAGGGAACACGTGCATACAAGTATGTACCTGTCTGCATGTGTGTTGGCAGTGCCCTTACCTGCCCTCGCCCTTACCTGCCCTCTCTACGAATCCAGAGTGCCACCCTTTCTTTTCCAAGCCATCTGGCCCCACTTGTGTAAACATTCTTTTTGTCTCACCGTGAGGTCTATATGTGACCCCAACTGTGTCCTTCCCATGCAGGATGTGCTAGAAGGTGGGAATCTGCGGAATGCTCTACAGGAGCTGCAGCAGATCATCATCACCCCCATCAAGGCCTACAGTGTCCTTCAGGCTACTGTGGCTGCTACCACTACCACCCCTACTGCCAAGGATGGGGGCCGGGGGGAGCCGCTGCTGCCAGGTGCTGAGCCTCCCCTAGCCCACCCTGGCACGGACAAGGGCACTGAGGCCAAGGACCCTCCGGCTGCAGAGAAGTATCCCCCTCCACCAGCTCCAGCTCCCACTGATGGCAGCGAGCCAGCGCCGGCTCCCGTTGCTGACGGAGACATCCCCAGCCAGTTTACACGGGTGATGGGCAAAGGTAAGGCCAGCTAAGGCCTAGCTCGAAATCCTGAGGCAAGCCAGGCATTGTGGCACATGCCCAGTGGCTTGGGAGGCTGAGGTAGGAGGGTTGCAAGTTCAAAGCCAACCTCAGCAATTTAGTGAGGCCCTAAGCAACTTAGCAAGACCCTGTCTCAAAATAATGGGCTGGAGAGGTGGCTCAGTGATTAGGCACCTCTAGGTTAAGTCCCTGATACCAAAAACAACAACAAGCCAAAACTCCTGAGGCAGAAAGCCAGGTGAACTCAATCAAGCATTAGGAGTCAAATTCAAGAAAAGCGCTGGGAGCAGAGCTTTTTAAAGCCCTCTGGGGGGTATAAAACTGTGGAAAGTATCAGCTTTCCACAGTCAAGGGTGGCAAGGTCCCTGCTCTTGGGCAAGCTTGGGCTGATAGTGGGACAGCATGTCAGAGGAGACTGCCTGCAGTAAAGGGTGAACAAACATCCAGGGGATGAGGACAATGAATCTCATGGTAGATTTAACCTTTCCTGAGATAGCATGGCATAACAGACCTCCTACTTGGATCCAGATCTTTATTTAGAGCTCTGTGGTCTTGGGACAAGTGACTCAATCTTTTGGGGCCTTCAGTTTCTCAGGCTAAAAATGCTCATATTAACAAGATTATTGCTGTGTAAAAATTAAAAATGGGTGTTGTGGCACACACCTATAATCCCAGCTATTTCAGAGGCTAAGGCAGGAGGATCAAAAGTTCAAGGCCAGTCTTAGCAACTTAGCAAGACCTTGTCTCAAAGTATAGAAAGGGCTGGGGATGTAACATAGTGGTAGAGTATTTGTTTAGCATGTGTGAGGCCCTGAGTTCAATCCCCAGCATTGCCAAGAAGACACATAGAAGATTTAAAATGAGGTATTATTGACTTCCTATCTGTCTTGTGCCAGGCACTGTGATAGGTGCTTAATTATATATTTTTCACAATAACTCATAATCTGAGTGGAGACTTATCCAGCCCACGTCTCCTGTTCCTCTTCCTGCACCAGCTGGCTGGGACTGGGGAGGCTGAAAGCTAACTTCCTGTTCTTTCCTGTGTCCTGCAGTGTGCACCCAGCTGCTGGTGTCCCGACCAGACGAGGAGAACATCACCAGTTACCTCCAGCTCATCGAAAAGTGCCTGACTCATGAGGTAATGCCCTCTATAGGGCTCCCAGGAAGAGAAAAGCTGCTTCCTCTCTCAGAGGACAGCATTCCAACATTCTAGCATCCACCCCTTCCCCACGCCCTCAGCTTACCAGTGTTGGCTGCAGAGGCTTCTTTCTTAAGAGTCTTATCAGAAGCAGTCCCTTCCCTACTGCTAACCCCTCAGTTCTGTTTTGACATTTGTATGGGGACCCAAAGACACCCTCAACCTACTGCTCCTGCGGAGTTGGGTTTCTGGTGCCTCCTGCTCTACGCCCTCACTGGGAGGGGTGACTACACAGTTATCACTGCATGTGTTTCCCTCAGCTAAGCTGTGAGCTCCGTGAGCACAGCCACCTCTGTCTAGCATCTCCTGGCACAGAGCAGGCAAGCATGAACACCTAAGCAGTGGATGGAGGACAGGTATCAAAGAAGCAACCCTCCCTCCCCCAATTTTAGGCTTTCACAGAGACACAGAAGAAGCGACTGTTGTCCTGGAAACAGCAAGTGCTGAAGCTCCTCCGGACATTCCCGCGCAAAGCCGCGCTGGACATGCAGAACTACCGGCAGCAGAAGGGGTAGGCGGGTGCTCTCCCTAGGCCCTTGTGATTGGCAGATAGGTGCCTAGAGGGGTAAATGTGTCTGGGCTGGGATCCTGGTTGTATTTATTCAAATCACCCAGTGAAGGACTTTCTTAGAAGAAAATCAGAATGAGCCAGGTGCTGTAGCACATTCCTGTAATCCCAGTGACTTGAGAGGCTGAGGCAGGAGGATTGCAAGTAAAGGCCAGTCTCAGCAAAGCAGAAAGTCCCTAAATAACTTAGGCATTGTCTCAACATTTTTAAAAAGTTGGGGGTGGAGAGGTGGGGATGTAGTTCAGTGCTACAGCACCCCTGGGTTTAATTTCTAGTACCAAAAAAAAAAAAAAGAAAGAAAGAAAAGGAAAGAATACAAGGGTGTTGTTACCAGAATAGGATACAAAGGCTAGGGGCATAGCTCAATGGTAGAGCACTTGCCTTGCATGCAGAGGTCCCTGAATTCAATTTGTAGCATCACCAAAAAAATTAAGATACTGAACTGGCAAAAAATAGTATGTGTCTAGAGAGCAGGCCCCTTCCCTCTACATTTTCCTCTTCACCTGTGTGCAGTGGGCTCTAAAGTCCGTGGTGCTGAGGATCAAACCCAATGCCCCACATGTGACAGGCAAGCACTTCACCACTGAGCTATAGCTCTAGCCCGGAAGTCCATTCTTGTACCAAATAGCAGAAATCTCTCTCTTGAAACGAAGGTTAGATAATTGTTCTGAGTGAACAGTGAGGAAACTTTTTCATACTCCCAGTCTCTATTCTTGGAGTACCCTTGTGTCAGGAGGAGATAGAAATGTGTGATGCAGAGATGTTGTCAGGGAATCCTTGCTCAGAGCAAGTCATGTTGTATCCGACCCATTGGGGCTGTGGAGGAAGTTGAAGGAGGGGTGGACCAATGGGCCCCATCCACCTAAGCTAACAGCTTGCCTTTTCTCTCACAGCTGGGCATTCGGCTCCAACTCACTCCCCATAGCTGGCTCTGTGGGGATGGGGGTGGCCCGACGGACCCAGCGGCAGTTCCCAATGCCTCCCCGGGCCCTCCCACCTGGCAGGATGGGTCTCCTGAGCCCCTCGGGCATTGGGGGTGTCTCCCCTCGACATGCCCTCACCAGCCCCAGCCTCGGGGGCCAGGGCCGACAGGTGAGCCTGCAGGAAGTGGAAGCCCTGGTACTACTGGGGTTGGAGTGGTGGTGTCTGGGATATTCTGACTCTGCACCTGGGCCCCACTAAAGGGGAGGGTCCTTTTTTGTCAGCTCATTCCTGGGCCTTTTCCTCACTCACCCTCTCTGTTATCCTCCCATGTCCTATGCAGAACCTGTGGTTTGCCAATCCTGGAGGCAGCAACAGCATGCCCAGTCAGAGCCGCAGCTCCGTGCAGCGAACCCACTCGCTCCCAGTCCACTCGTCACCCCAGGCCATTCTCATGTTCCCTCCAGGTGAGGTACCCCACCTTTGGGACTATACCTTGCCAACCACCTCGCCTGGCCTTTCTCTTCTCTGGATCTTACATTCCTTATTCCTTCCCGACTGCGAGAGCATTTCTCTCCATACTTCCCATTTCTCGGTACCCATCTCCTCCACTGTTGTGAGAGAGGTTTTTTTTTTTCCCCCTCTGTTTCAGTTTTATCTCTGAAGTCCTGCTTTCTCTCTTTCTCTACCTCTACCTTTTTTTCTTACCACTTACCAACACTCTACCTCCATGTCTTGTGCAATGATCTTACGGTTATTGTCTCTTCATAGGATCATTAAACACTCATTTTGGAAGAGGTTGAGGGATGAGAGGTTAAAGTGTGAGGTTGCTGTGGAAAGAAGTCCTGTATCAGCCAATCAGCCCCTTGCATTCTTTCAGAGGCCAGTGACCACAAAAGAGCCAGTAGGCCCCACCTCTTAGATGAGGTTCTACCTATAAAGGGAATTTGGAGTAGAAGGGCTTTTACCTGTGCTCAGAGGCCAACCTGGAGATGCAAGGTCAGGAGGAGGGTCAAGTGGGCAAGAGAAAGATCAGGAATACACAGTCACAGTCCCTTCCTTGCTGAACATGGTGGAGTTGGCTCTTCCACTTTGGCTGGCCCACTGCTGAGCACTGGTGGGTCATCTGCAGACAGATGATGCCCTGAAGAGATCTTAGATTTATAGGTGACCTAACTGTGGCATCAATAGGAATTTTTTTTTTTTAATCACAAGCATTCACCACCACATCCAACTAATCAGGATTCTTTTTGGGCAGGGGGTGCAGGTACCAGGGATTGAAGTCAGGCAGGGGCTACTCAGCCACATCCTCAGCCCTATTTTGTATTTTATTTAGAGACAGGGTCTCACTGAGTTGCTTAGTCCCTCACTTTTGCTGAGGCTGGCTTTGAACTTGCAATCCTCCTTCTCAGCCTCCCAAGCTGCTGGGATGACAGGGGGATTATTAATTTATGAGATGCTACAAACTGCCACCTGTGGAGCCAGGGAACCCCCATAGTTTCACTCTAGCACAGGGCTTGGCACATGGAAGCCATCTATAAATGATGTTAAGTGAGTGGTTGGATAAACTATAGGAGCAAAAAATAAGAACTTTTCCTAGTATGCTGTGTGCAAGGCTCTGTCAGAAAGCTTTCCTGCACTGTGAAATTTAATTCTCCCACCTGCATATTAGGCTCTACTCTATTAGAAATAATATTAGAGCTCTAATATTATTCCCATCTTTTTATTCATCAGTATCAGCCTATGTGACAAGTCTGCTAGGACCTGAGCTCAGGGTTTAGATGGCTGGGGATGAAAAGTGAGGCTGGAGATGGGAGCCAGCTCTCTGAATTCAGGTCAGAAGCTCAGCCTTCCTCCCAGTGGCAGCAAAGAGCTGAGAAAAGATTTTAAGTAGTGTAGCGTGGGGTCAGGTCTGCCCGGGGACCTGGCTACTGCCCACATGCTATAATATGAGGACCTTTTGGGGAAGCAGTTTGAGGACAAGCTCCATGGCTGCTGTCCTATTTTTTCCCACCTGCTCCTATCCAAAGGAGCAAGTCTTTTGCCCCACCCACCTATCCAAAGGAGCAAGTCCGAGTGGGAACAGGGAAGAGTTTTAATTTAGCCTTTGCACCAGATACAGAGAACAAGTCACCAGTCAGGGAGCATGGGTCTGCCCAGTGTCTAAGGCAGGTGCCCAGACTGACCAAGGCATGGTGTCATCTATGTCCAAACTAGTCACAGCCTGTGTGGGGCCTCCAGGAAAGCTCCCTCAGTTTCAGTCACTTCCTCTGTCTGCAAGTCCAGCTTTTTGCATTGCCAAGTCTTTGTCCTTACTGTTGTGTCTCCTGCCTACTCTGTGACCACCCTAGGCCTGTCACCCTTTCCTCCCTCCTCCCAGTCATGTCCTTCATCCATATGAATGCATGCTTTGGGAGCTTGTTTCTGTCTCTTGTCGCCCTGGCTCTCGTATCCACCCAGTCAGTTCTCACCACCTCCATTCTCCTCTCTCCCTCCCAGACTGCCCGGTCCCTGGGCCTGACCTGGAGATCAATCCCACCCTGGAGTCTCTGTGTCTGAGCATGACAGAACACGCCTTGGGTGGTGAGCATTTCCTCTTTCCCTGACCCAGCTCCCACCTACCCAGCGTCTCCATCTCTGAAACTGAGCAACTCAGAGTCATCCTAAGGGTCCCAAGGGGAGGCCAGACTCCAGGGAGGGCCTGCCTGGGATCACAGGCTACTTGAGTGCCTTTCCTTGGGCCTCCTGCCAGCTCCTGATCTTCCTCCCTTCCTCCTTTCTTGTCACAGATGGGACAGACAAAACCTCCACCATCTGACGGGACCCACAGCCCAGCGCACCCATAGGCTCCCCGGGCGGCGGGCGGGGGCCAACCCCCAACGGGCTTCTCTGCGGCAGCAAGAGGGTGGGCTGGCTCAGCTATACATTCTAATATTTTTCTACTCTCTCACCCTTTTAACTTTTGTTTAACATTGGCACATGCCTTGCTCACTCCCAGGCCCGTTGAGGGATCTCTGCTGAGGCCAGGGGTCAGAGGGGGCTGCCAGGATCAAAGGGGCAGGGACTGGTCAGAGTGCCTGCCCCATCTTCCCTCCCACATCCCCCACCTGGGCCTGCCCCAACCCTGCCTCTTCCAGACTGCTGATCACCTGTCCCTCCCCAAGGGAGCAGACTCCCAGACAAACTGACCGCTACCTTGTGGAGCCTGCTCAGAAACCTTTGATATTGAGGGACCAATGAGCAGGGTTGACAACCCCTCCCCTTGATGTTACTGGAGAGGAGCTGGGGAGAAAAGGAGTGAGGAGAGGAAGTGCTCTTCCTCCCCTCTCCACTGTCTGCCCTTCCCCATTCCCATCATTCCCGAAGGACAGGAACCACATTCCTCTCACCTCCTCTTGCCCTGTTTATCAGAGGTTCTCTACAATTAATTTCTTAGGCCTATTTAAGATACATATTTATATAGTTCTTAACGGTTTTTCTCTCTGATCATTCCCTGTCATTTTTAGAATCCCCAGGCCTCTCTTTGAGCCAAGATAGTGGTGGGGGAGCCTGAACTTTGAGTGGAGAGGGCAGAGCCCACTCCTCCAGCCCCCCTCACCCTTCCCTTTTTCCCCCAGCCCTGGCTTCTCTGATGCAGAGGTTGACGGTGGGCAGCCAGGGCAGCGGTGAGGTCAGGAAGTCTGTTGCCTTAACGTCCCCTTTCCCCAACAGTACACACCCTTCTTTACTCCCAGGTCTGGTTGGTAAAGACTTGGGGGTTAGGAACACGGGAAAGGGGATTGTTTGGTTTTTGTTATTTTCCCCGCCGGACCCCACTTTTCTTTCAGCCTTTCCCATTCCCCATTATGTCATGACCTCATGTAAGTGGAACACTATATCATAATCCAGAGGTGCATCCCAGCCCCGGAGTCACATAGACCCTCTGGTCCCTGTTCCTGATGAGGGCTTGTGCTGGGGCTCAGGTGGAGGGAGGGGATTTGGGGGTTCATACTGTGGGGAAGCCAGGGTCCCCCTATTCCAACCTCCTCTTCCCCCTAAACTTACCCCTCTCACTGGGACGTTCTCAAGCTTTTCACACCGAAAAGGAAAAAAAATGTTATTTTTAGATACATTTTATGAATAACTTTTGTTATGAATATGGCTGGTAACCATTGTGTATGTTATTAAAGATACAAAATGTTGGGAAAAAAACAAAAAACCAAAAAAAGAAAAAAAAGTTGAAAACCACCACCCTCCCTGTGCACTATCAGCCCATTCCCCAGACCTTCTTGCCTCTACCCTCCTGGTCTGTGCACCTCCCTCCGCTCTGAGCCCAGGGAGGGGGAAGAAGCCAGGGGGTAGAGTGGCCCTGGGGACCTGCTTCCAGGTTCCCACCTCCTCTCCCAGTGCCGGGCTGGGTGGGGTGTCAGGTTTATTTATGTACCTCTTGCACACTCATCAACCTATGCAAGTCCCCACCCCGGCCCCTCCATGTTTCTGTGCCTTTGCTCATTCCCCTCAAGCTCCCAGGGCTTCTCCAGCCCCCTTCCCACTAGCCACAGGAAGTGGGATGGATGGGCCACCTCGTTTTGGAATCAGTAGGGTGTCCCTCTCATGGGACCCTCACCTCTTCCTGGCTGGTTCTGTCTTGTTCACTCCCCGTCAGGGTGAGCTGACCCTGCCTGGCACTGGGAGGTGGTGAGGGACACCCTCCCACACACAAAGGGAGGCGAGAGCTGCCCCCTCCCCACCTGACAGCAGAGTGTGTAGGACGCAGGCGGCCCCACTCTGATGGGCAGGACCCTGACCTTCTGCTCCCCTCCACCCCCTGGCCCCCAGGCCTCCTTCCATGATTTCACCCTTCCTACCTACTTCTGTCCCCAGCCCCACTGGCAGAATCAGCTTTGAGTAACTGTATAGTTTTTCTCACTGTTGGAGAAGACTTATTTGTTGGAGTTCACTTGTTTAATGGTCTGGGCTTATTTTCGAAAAAAAAAAAAAAAAAAAGATTCTGACCTTTGTTATGTTCCATTTCATGGGAAACCAAGTGGTCTTGTTTCTGTGCCTCAATCTGAGGTCTTTGAGCATGGGTGTGTGTGTGGGGGGGGTTTGAAATGAGACCAGAGGCGCTGGGAAGATACATCAAGAGAAGCTGACTTTATTAACAGCAAAGGTTGGAGTGGGGGGAGGGGCGGTGACAAATAAAGTGAAGGGTTCACAAATAGACCACTAGAAAAGTGCCTTGCTCTGAGCATGTGTCTGTGCTTCCCCTCTGAACCGTCTGGGGCTCAGTCACTATCGCTGTCAGCCTCACTGGAATCAGAAGCTGCAGCTTCACTGCCATCTTCCTGGGCTGAGTGTTCACTGCCACTGGGGAAGGGGCTGGCGCTCCGGCTCCGCTGGCCACCCCCATCACTGCCACTGTCCGAATCATTGTCACTGCCACCTCGGGCCCGTCCTCTGTCCTCATCATCAGAGTCCGCATCATCCTCCGAATCCGCATCACTACCAAAGATCTCCTCTTTGTCCCGAGCAGCCCGAGCTTCATCCTCACTGCTCTCGTCCTCACCACTTCCACTCTTGTCACTTGCCTCCTCCCTGTCACCTTCCTCTCGTTCACTCTCACTGCCTGAGCGCTCGTCCTCGCTGCCCTCCTTCTCACTGCTGCTGCCCTTCTCGTTCTCCTCATCTGTGAGGGAACAGAAAGAGGTGAGACCCAATTTCCTGCCCTCTTGAGGTTCCCAGGGTCTGGCCTGTTCCTCTTTACCTGAGCCCCCAGCTTCTTTCTCTTCTGCCTCCATCTCCTCCTCCTCTTCCTCCTCTGGTTCGTGGTTTTCCAGCTGGGCCTTCCGTGCCTCCTAGAAGCGGCAGGATTGGGAAGAAGGGTGTTCTGTCAGGCTTCTTCTATCATTCTCACCCACCACTGCCCTCCCTAAGGGTGCTGTGGTCCAGTGGTGTTTATTACCTGGGCTTCTAATTCCTTCTCGTTCATGTCCCGGTGTTTGACCACAAGCAGGGCATTGGTGCCTGACTGAACTCCAGCCTTGGCCCGGCGCTTACTAAGGCGGACCCTGCAGTGGGCAAATTGCACAAGTATAGAAGATGTGTTTTAAGGCCCCTGAGGGGTCGGGTCTGACTTAGTTCCCAGTCAGTGCTTGGCCCAGAGCACACCAGGGGAAGGATAAACTACTTGTGATATGTGTACATGTGGTATATTCGTGTGTGTGTGTGTATTACTTACCAATACTTATAAACCAGGAGAAGCAGGGTGGGACATGGCTCTGTGTTAAGAGTGCACCCCAGAATTAAAACCAGAAGAAGATGGATTTCTGGCTTTTGAAAAACAGGCATTTTGTAATGGGGTTGTAGCGCAGTGGCAGAGCGCTTGCCTAGCATATGTGAGGCACTGGGTTTGATCCTCAACACCACATAAAAACAAATAAAATTAAGGCCTTCTGTCCATTTACAAGTACCAAAAAAAGAAAAACAGGCATTTAGGGCCCTACTAGACCTTTCTTACCCCAACAGAGTGACAAAAGATGACAGATGTCCCTTAGAAGCTGCCAAGATAATGTTTTGAACAACCAACAATAAAAAATTAAAAAAAAAAAAAAAGAAGCTGCCAAGAGTTCCAGGTCACCCTGAGCCCACCAGCGCTCTCTGTTCAGTCTTTCACATTTCCTGCCTGGCTTTTGGATCAGAATTTCTGATCCCTCCTTTAAACAAAAATTCAGGTCATGCTTTCCCAACCTAGGGCCCTGACACAGCAGTTAACTCTTAAGCCCTTAGTGAAGAGTTTGGGGGTCACCTTTTAAAAATGGTTATCAAGTGTTACACTTAAAATACATATGCCAATGTTATATATTCCTTATACCATGGCTATGTACTTTCACATGAAGTTTTATATTAATAACAGTGTATCAGGAAAGTTAGCTGTCCACCATCCACAAAAGCTCTAAAGGTTTCCTGCATTACCTGAACATTTTCTTTCTGACTTCTTGTATTAGAGCCAGGTCCAGCCCATGTAGGTGAGCAGGTTCCTGCTGCTTTTGTTTACAATGCATAAATCCAAAGGCACAAATGACCTCCAGGATGGTTCTTGTATGCCTCAGTGTCTTGAAAAGCACAGAACCAGGCTAATTGGGAGTGTGCTGAGTACCTGGTCTCCAACTCATTGTAATAAACTCCATCACCCTCTCGAAAGATGAAGAAGTAGTTTTCCTCGTAGCCCTTGCTAGCCTTGTTCTTCACATTCCAGTTGTACTCCCGAGCAATCTTGTAGTCATACCTGAGAATGACAGAACAGAGTCAGCCCCATTTTCATCCCTGACAAGGAGAAAAGGAGACATACTTCTCAATTCCTAAAACCTATCCCCAACCCACGCACACATCATCTGGTGCATAGTCCATCTCCTCCTCCTGGTCCCGTTTTCGTTTCTTCAGTGTCTCTTCCACAGGCAGGAAATAGGCCACAAACTGGTTCCCTTCCTCATCCATCATGCCCCTAGTTGGGAGAAGAGGGATGTTAAAGAGTGAGGCAGAGAGACAAGGAGGAGCAGGTGAAGGTAAACAGCAGAACCACTGACCTGATCATGGCCTGAGACATCATCTCCAATGCAGCTGCACCACTTGTGTCCTTGGGAGCTGGATCTGAGTCAAAGATTACCTGAGCACATGGGTTGATCCACATCTGGGGGAATGGAGAGCACTGGGTTAGTCTGGTACAGACAGACATGGGAGACCATCCCTCGACCTCTTGCCCTAGGCCTGACCTTAAAGTCTGGGAATACAGGCATGACCTCCACTGGTGTCACTCGAGGCTTGCTGTAATGCTGGGAGATCTAGTGGGAGCAAAAACAGAGTGAGGGGAAGTGCTCAAGTCACACTTCTGCTTCTCCCCACCCTAGTCCTTCAATTACTGATTTCTGGGCATCCTCAAAAGTCTTCTCGATGGCCGTGATCTGGCTATCCCTATCTTTATATATTTCTTCCTCAGTGAACTGCTGCTTCACAGAAACCCCAATCCTAGGAGTGAAGACAATAAACTTTAGGGACCACTGGACTTGGCGAGAAATCTCCACATTCCCCCATCCTTCCCATCTCAACTTACTTGACCTCAGGTTTCTCATTAGAGATGCCATAACGGTTGAACTCAGTGGAAATGTATTCTGTCTTCCGCATCCATGGCACTACTTTTGCATGTTGCTGGGATCTGGGGTAGAAGATGAGGTACTTTAGAACCCCATGCAGGACTTCCTCTGTTTGCAGAGCCTATCCCAGCCAGACCCAGTACCTAGTTGGCACCTGCTCACCTCTTAGAGCTGGTGGGAGCCTGAATCTCCTCTTCTAAAAGCTTCTCATCAGCTGGATCCAGGAGAACTAGAGAGGGAAGAGGCAGGACCACCATGAAGGAGGCCCAGGCCTGGCCTCTTATGGTCTAGAGTAGACCAACCCTGTCTTCCCACGAACCATTTGGATCAATGCGGTAGGTGTCGGGGTTGATGAGGTCAATGGTGACTCCCAGATCTGGCTCAGTCAGGAGGTCATGTTTGTGCTGTTTCTCTAAGGAGGTCGCTTTATACTGGACAAACCTGGGTAAGGAAACATGTCCACTGTGGATTTCTGATTCCAGCTTTATTCCTCTCCTCCCTGCTTCCCAGAAGCTAAGCTCTGGGGAGAATCTCAGATGCTACTTGCTCCATCCATGAGTATTTACTGAGCACCTGCTACTGTGGCTGGGTAGGTACCGAGTAGACCCAGAGAAAGAAGTAAAGAGCCTAAGCAACCTTAGGCTCCTCATTTCTGAGTAGTTTCCCCATCCCTGATCTTAATCTCACCTGTTCTGGTCAAAAGGGTATGTGATGAACTTGGGGTCGAAGGGGATGTCAGGGAGACTATTGCAATACTTGACTCGGCAGACCACTCCAGATCTAGGAAAACAAGAACTCAAAATTTGGCCCATGCTGCCCCACTTTACTCCCAGCTCCCACGCCCACTTCTCCGAGGAAATCACAGTGGGGCTCACCTCTCAGGCAGAGTCCGGTGGGAATTGGGCCTGGTGGAGAAAAGAGAGACTGATAGAACGAAGGAGTGAACAAGGGTTGATAGAGGAGTGAAAGGGGTTTCTCCAAGCTTCTAAAAGGTGCACCCATTTTGGGGTGGGGGCAAGCATTCGATTCCGTTTCGCGGAGTGTCCCCAAAAGCTTTCAATCCAGTGTTTTAATAAAAAACCACGTACTCAATCGTTTTGGGAAGAATGGTTTCCAAACGCTTGACTGGAGTGATCTAAGCGCTCAATCTGCCGGAGCGCCTCCAGGGGAGTAATTCCTTAATTCGGGGGCAGGAGAGGAAGGGGTAACACCCGAGTCCCAGGAGGAGCCCGCCCCCTCGGTCAAAGGTAAGCACTCCGTGACCTCGCGGGCAGCCCTGGGGGGGCAATGACGACGTGGGCAGATACCCTCTCCCGACCCCCACCTTGCTGAAGCCCTGGGAGACGTAGAGGAGAGGGGTAGAGCCAGGTAGCGTGGCGCCTACCTGTGGCCATCCTCCCGCTGGGCCTGGGTCTGGATGGTGGGCGCCATAGCGACGAGGCGACGGCGGCCCGAACGGGGTCCTTGCTGCGCCGCGGGCAGACGCGGAGGGGCGTGCCGACCTCCGTGGATGCCTGACCTGAGGCAGGACTCAGGATGACGCCGTTCTCTGAGGGGGAGGGTTAGGGTGAGAGGCTGGAGGGAAGAGCTTTGGGCAAGACTCAGGAGAACGCTCAGGCAGCTCCACAGGCGGACTCACAGCTCCGGCTCCACCAACTGCCGCCAAGACGCTAAGGACCCGACAGGTCGCCTCAGGCCGCAAAGCCTTCCGGGAAATAGAGTCCGGATGAGAAACACGCACGGATTGGAGAGCTTCTGGGTAAAGGGTGGAGCCATGGAGGGAAAACGTCTTGTGATTGGCGAAAAGAAATCCTAGTCTGGACGTCGGATTTGAGACTGATGGAAGGTGGGGGCATCTCCTCTCCTTTCATTGGTTAAACTGTCTGAAGGCGGAGCTAACTAGTAAACGGGGCCTACCGATGGAGACACTGAAACACGGGAGCAGCACTTGTGACGCACTTCCGGCGCTCTAAGCAAGGAAGATGGCTGCGCCCCAGCAGCAGGCTTCAGTGGCTTCCTCAGCTGGTGGTGTATCGGCTCCGGGTTCGACTGGTGGTCCGGGTTCCCAGCAGCAGCCGCAACCGCCAGCACAACTGGTGGGACCTGCCCAAAGCGGTCTCCTGCAGCAACAACAACAGGACTTCGATCCTGTGCAGCGCTATAAGATGCTCATCCCGCAGCTGAAGGAGAGTCTACAGGTGATTGATCGGGAGCTGTGAGGAGAATGCAGGATTTGGCAGTCTGATTCCAAGAGGGCGTGTGAGGGGTGGTTTAGTTGTGGAGAGATCGTAGTAGGGAAGAGGAGAAAGACGTTCATTTTTTTGTGTGTGTGTGATGCCAAAGCGAAGCTCTGTGGAGTGACATTGTGGGGCGGGATCAATGTAGATGTTGAGGCTGGGATTGGCCAGAACTTGAGTGGGAAGGGGTGTAAGGGGAAAGCCCGCCTCTGGTCGTTAAAGCCTGTGGAAAGGAGTGTCTATTCGTAGCTTCTGCCCGTGATTGGTGGATAATGGAGATTGTTGGTGAAACCCCAGGCGAGGGCAGGCTTCCGGGAAAATACCAGTGTCTGATATAGGAATGGAAATCAGCATTATTCTGGAGTGTCAGGAGGGAGATGCCAAATGAAGAGGAGGACTAAGGCTGGGTGTTATCTCAAGGAAGAGCGTAGATCTAACAAAATTATCCTCTCTGTTTCTCTATCTCCCGCATCTTTTTCTTTCTTTTTAAACTAGACCTTGATGAAGGTTGCAGCGCAGAACTTGATTCAGAACACTAACATTGACAATGGACAGTAAGTGCAGCCCTCTTTCCCCAGGATACCCTCTCTCCACCCCAGCCTTAGAAATTCCTCCCCCCACCACCCTCCTAATTTCAAGCTCTGCTTCAGATCCCCTGGGCCTGTCCCTGGTTTCCTGATGAACACTTAGTTGTGTAGACCCTGGTGCCTCAGAGATTGGAAATCCATTCCCCTCTTTTCTCCCGGATGCTAGAAAGAGCAGCGATGGACCCATACAGCGCTTTGACAAGTGCCTGGAGGAGTTCTACGCACTCTGTGACCAGCTGGAGCTGTGTCTGGTAAGGGGTCTTCTGGGCACTGGGTGCCCACATTCTTACCTCAGTCCCTGGGATTTTCATGAACCATCAGTCGGCTCATTCACTGGGTACCTCCTCTGGGACAGACCTGGGCTTCATCTGATGCTGGAGACACATTGTTGCCCTGATCCTTACTCTCACAGAACTTGCAGTTTAGTGCAGTGACAAGTGTAACCCCAAACAGGGACAACTCAACAGTGGTCAAGTTTGTGATGGGAGAAGTCCAGGCCACGGTGGTTGGGGCTGTGAAATGGAGCACAGGCAGTGGTGTCAGGGCTAGGATGGAAGGCAGCTGAGGGGATGTGGAAGCATGGGTTGAGGGTAGAGAGAGAGTGGTTCAGGGAAGGCTGCTGAGGAGAGCACATTGGAGAGAGATCAGAACAAAGAACAGAGAGTGCAGGAGGTGAGAGGCAGGCCTCTAATCAACTTCCTGTGAGCCTTGGGTTCCTCCCTTGGAAAATAGGGTTTCAAAGAAAACTCAGCAAGATCATGCATGGAAAGTACGTACCCATCATACTAGGTATATGGCAAGTGTTTCCTATAGTATTATCATTCTGGACCAGGTGTTAAAGGCAAGGCAGAATTGAGAAGCGGTTGGGGTAACACTGTGTTCCAGCCAGGAACAACTTATGCTTTAAATTTCAGGAGATTATTAGGAGATTCAGTCTGGCTCAGGTGTAGTAGGAGTGGAATTTTGAATATAACGCTGAGGGCACTGGGGAGCCATGGAGGATTTCAGGTAAGGGAGAACATGGAACAGTTTGCTTTTTAGTAATATAATATGCCTCTGGCTGCCAAAAGAAGACTTTGTAAGAAAAGCTGAGTAAAGAACTTGCAGTTTAGTGAGGCCCAAGGATGCAACCAGAGTGGGGCTGATGAACTGCCCAACCCAACACCTTCAGTGCCCTGGTTCCCATATTCCCAGTTCCCTGGTTCCTCACTTCTTGAGGAAGAACTTGGGAGCTTCTAAGTTTTGTCAGGCCACAGGACAGATGGGCTGTTAAGGGAGGACTTTCCAGGATGGGGCCCAGGGCTCTGGTAGGAATGGTAGAATCATCTGAGATGGGGACCCATGAGAAACAACAGTTTGATGGGAGAATATGAGGGAAGGGGCCTAGGAATACAAGGGAAGCTAAGGACAGAGGTGTGGGCACCGTCACTGAAGAGGTGGGAGCCCAGTGTGTGGGGGTGACAGCCGAGGGATCATGGGGAGTGGAAGGAGAAGGAGTCTGGAGACTGCTGCTCCAGTCTTGAGTAGAGTGAGAAGTACCTGGTAGGAGTGACCAAACAAGTAGGAGAAAATCCGTGGCAGGTGCCATCAGAGAAGCCACTGCCGATGCTAAGCTTGGGGTTAAGACAGTAACAGTCATAATAACCGACAATCATCAGTTAGTACTTCAAACGATGTACTAGGGCCCGGGTGCTGATGCACACTTGTAATCCCAGCAGCTGATGCACACTTGTAATCCCAGCAGCTCTGGAGGCTGAAGTTCAAAGCCAGCCTCAGCTACTTAGCAAGGACCTAAGCAACTCAGTGAGACCCTTTCTCTAATAAAATATAAAAAACAGGCTGGGGATGCAGCCCAGTAGATGTGCCCCTGGGTTCAATCCTCCATAAAAGAAAAGAAATGATGCACTAGGATCTGGGCCTCAACACACCTGTTCTTACTGTTCTTATCTATGAGGTCAAAAGAGGTAGTCCTTAAACCCATTTTCCAGAGGAGGAAACTGAGTCTCAGAGAAGAGCAGTCGCTTGCTTCAGGTCACCCATCCAGTGATTGGCAGGGCCCAGCTCTGACTCCCAAGACCTTAGGACTCCAAAGATCTAGCAGGCTGCCCCAGGCTGGCCCCCAGGGGGTGGGGGACCCTGTGTACCTAGAGTGAGGCTGATGCTGCACCCCTGCCTGCCTGTCCACAGCGCCTGGCGCATGAGTGCCTTTCACAGAGCTGTGACAGTGCCAAGCACTCTCCAACCCTGGTGCCCACAGCCACCAAGCCAGATGCCGTGCAGCCTGACAGCCTGCCCTACCCGCAGTACCTGGCCGTCATCAAAGCCCAGATTGCCTGTGCCAAGGACATTCATACGGCCCTGCTGGACTGTGCCAACAAGGTCACAGGCAAGACGCCTGCACCACCTACTGGCCCCGGGGGCACCCTCTGAGATGGCATGGCAGGGAGCGGGGCTGGCATTGGGGGATAAGGGGGGCAGACAAAGAATGAAGATTGGCCTAAGCCAAAAAGCACGAGTTGTGTCTCATTTCTCCTTCTTTCCTGAGCATTGCGGATTGGAGCCAGCAGGGGGCAGCAGAGGCCAGCAGGGAGAACAACAGGACCCAACCCCGCCTCTACTGCTCTCCTCCTACCCTCCCAGGACTAGTATGGATTTTGAACTGAGCCTTCTTGATGACCTTTGTTCCAAGGGCCCTACCCCTGCCTGGTGTAGGTGTGGCCTGGGTGTGGTCTCCTGGCTGGGCCCTTCCCTCTCAGTCTTCCCTGGAGTTTGGTCAGTTGGGGGTGATTTGTGTCTGTTTCTTTCTCCAGCTGTTCCTGTCTCCTGTGTTGTTTCTCTCTCTCTCTCTCTCTCTCTCTCTCTCATCTTTCTCTGCCCCATTTCAGTCTCTGCCCCTGTGGTTTTCTGTATCCCTGTCTCTAACAGTCAGTCCTCTTTGGCTGCCCCCACCTCCTAACTGGGACTCTTGTTTATGAAGAGAGCCAGAAACCTTGGGTTTCTTGGTGCTAAGGGAAGGGCATCATTTCTAGGGACCACAGCCAAGCCCAGAGACCCTCAGCATCTCCCACATTAGCCCAGCCTGCAAGGTCTTGAGCCCAGGAAAGAAGAAGTGGAGGAGCTGAGGCCCTAACCTCAACATGCCTGATTGGGGAGCAACCCAGGCCCCCGCCTGTCCCCAGGCCCTGCGTCAGCGGAACACCAATGTGGGCCATTGTGCAATCTGTGGGGCAGCCTGGCCCAGCTGGATGCCTGGGTCCCTGTATTTTTAGCCCAAAGGAGAAGTGAAAAGGCCCCAGTGGTGTGAATCATCAGTCCTGGGGAAGAACCCAGCTCCGGGAAGCAGGCCCTGGGGAGGGGGCTTGAGGGAGGGAGGGAGTGCCCCACCAGGCTTCCCCTGTCCCCAACAGCCGAACAGCTTTGGGGGAAGCTCAGCCATGGCCGTCAGGCCTGGGCAAGTGCCCGGCAGAGCTACCACCCTAGACCCAGCTGTTGGGGTGTGAAAGGCCCGGTGACTCAGCCTGGTCGGGGAACTGCCCCACCCAACACCTTCAGTGCCCTGGTTCCCATGTCACCACCCAACAGCCTCCTCTCCTGGACCCCATGTTTGTAAGGAAACCCCGAGACCATGGAGACCTCTGTGATTCACTGTCCCATACTGGGAAACTGGAATGCGGCCCAGCTGTGTGTGTACATCCCAGAAAATTCCTTCCCTGAGCTTCCTTGAAGCACTGGTGCTCAGTCAGGAAGGCAAGCTGAAGAGCTGACCGCAGGTGGCCATCTTCTTCAGGGAAACCTTAGCTCAGCCCCTGTCTGATTCAATCAGCTTTTCAAACAATTGGAACTGTGGCCCAGCCAATTTGACACATACTTGACCATCTAGCTGGGTGCAGGGGCACGCACCTGTAATACCAGTGACTGGATGGTGAGGCAGGAGAATTCCAAGTTCAAGGCCAGCCTGGGCTACTTGGTCAGACCCTGTCTCAGAAATGAAATAAAAAGGGCTGTGTAGCTGAGTGGTGAGGCACCTCTGCAACGGATCCCCACTACAGCAACAAAACAAACACCATTAGTCCCTGTCCCCTGGGCACCCACACACGTCTCCTTACCTGTACTTAATCTCTAATAATAGTCTTCTTTCTGCCTAGCAGGATTTAGTTATCTTTCATAAAATTGAAAATATGCTAACCCTGTCCCCAGCAGAGCCTACCAGCTCCCAGCCCAGGGGCACACCGGCACATACTGGCAGAGATGTGTCAGTTCATGAGCATATGTGCAAGACAGGTACAGCTGGCTCCACTGGGTGGTGTCAACGTGACATCACAGGTGAGGGAATAACATCCCAGCACCCAGGAGACAAGGCCAGAGTGCAAAAACCACACCTAGGAGACACCACAGGCAGTGGGTGATGCAGCGCAGACAGTGCAACACAGGCTGAGCATCTTGTGTGGGCCAAGCTCTGCAGTGCGACCCAAGAACCCTATGCTGATCCTTGAGAGACAGCATAAAAAATGACATGGTAGATCAACACGTTACTCAGGAGGCTGAGGCAGAAGGATCACAAGTTCAAAGCCAGCCTGGGCAATTTAGTGAGACCCTGTCTCAAAAAAATAAAGAAATAAAAAGGGCTGGGGATGTGGCTCAGAGGTAATGAGCCCCTGGGTTCAATACCCAGCACTGCAAAAGAAAAGAAAAAAAGACTGGCATATTGAGAATTGTCAATTTATTGAAAACCCTCATTGGGTAGTCATCCTGTGAACATCATTTGGGTTTATAATTAGATGTAACATGTTTATTATGTTCAAGTGATGATAAGGTTATTTAAATTGGAGGGCTGGTGGTGTGGCTCAGTGGTAGAGATGCGCTTAATATATGTAGGACCCTGGGTTTGATTTTCAAAACCAAAAAAGACAAAAACAAACCAAGCACCAGGTACAATGGTACATGCCTGAAATTCCAGCTACCCTGGAGGTTAAGGCAGGAAGATCGCTTGGGCCCAGGAGTTCAAAACCAGCCTGGGTTATGTAATAAACCCCATTCCTGTCTCAAAACAAACAAAAAAAAAAATCCTTAATAGAGGTAAAGGCAGGCCTCACTGACGTGCTAGAGTCAACTTGAAGGAGAGGGAATCCACTGCAAGAGGATTCCAGGGAGAGAAGTGCAATGCAAAGGCCCTGAGGCAGGAATGTGCTGGTGAGTTGACCCACCAATGAGGAGGCTTGGGGTCTTGATGAAGGAGCAGGGATAGGACAGGAAGCCCAAGCAGATTATCCAGTGAGGACTTGACTCTGCTAGGTTGTTAGGCACAGAGGGAGGGTGTAGGACCTGGTGCTCAGGGGGGTGTGTATGACATGCATGCACAGCCACCACACAACACACATGAGGCAGCACAGACTATGGGCACCGCACAGGCTCACACCACCCTCACCCCCTCACCGTCCAGCAGAGACTAGCAGAACCCACCGCCCCACTACCTGATGCCCCAGGGACCCCATCCCATTGGCAGTCCCACAAACAAACTCTAAATGAGTAACTCAACCATGTGAATACACAAACAACCCTCTAACCACCACTTTGCCCGCTATCTCTCACCCCATCACAGACTTTGCCCATCAGGGCTGAGTCAGCTCTGCCCTCAGCCCAGTGGCAGCAGCACCTCACCAGCTGGGGACAGATAAGACTGGCTCAGACACAGCTTCTCAGGTGCGGGTGTGTGCATGTCTGCGCTGCCCACAGAGGCAGACACACCAACAGCCACATGGAGCAGGGCACCAACCACTCTCCCCATCATGCGTGCTGTCGACGTCAGGCACCAAAGTTCACCAATTTCACTGCCTTGTGACTGGGCCACAGAGGAACTTCATCCAGACACTAGCCTAATGTGTCGTCATGCACATGCAGCCTCAGGCACACCCACGGCTAAGGACAGATGCGTGAACACCACTCATACACCTAAGAAGTATACACACTGAGCCACAGCTGCAGTCACCTAGAGGGACTTCAAGGTCATGAAATCACCTAGCTTCAAGGATATCTGCAGACCCCCAGCCACACCAGCAGGTACAGTCAGTCCCTGGCCAGCCCAGGCACCTTAGTCACTCCAGATCCCACAGTGGCTCAGAGCTATGTACAGATGGCAGCGGTGTGGACAGTGCAGTCCCATAAATCCAACTCAAAGACAGCTGCAGAGCAATGGCAATTCACGGCCTCCCCACATCCAGTTGGCTCCAGCGCTGGTGGTTAGTCAATCTATTACACAGATAGATGGTTTCACATGTTTATTCACAGAGTCCTGTCCTTGGGGATCATATGCACACGGCCCTTCACACAGGAAACCGGCACACTCAAGTCCCACACCTACTTCCCCAACTGCAACCCCAGGCGCCCTGACCTCCTCCCCGCAGAGGGGCAGAGCACACACCTGCAGGAGCACACTATTCACACTAGTGGTGCACACCAGCAGTCTCACACCGGGGCACACACGGCCAGCCCCAGCCTTGGCCACACCCGCGGCCGCCCAGGCAATCACGCCGGGCACACACGCAGCCGGGCACACGTGCCGTGAGTACACCGGCCCCTGCTCGCCCCGCACTCACACGGGCTCTCACACCCCCGCGTTTCCCGTCCCCGCTTGTTTTTCTGGAAACTCTGCTCTCCGTTCTCCTCCCCCTGGGCCGGAAGTGCTCGTGGTATTTTTAGCCTTTCTGGTTTCCGCCCCTTTCTCCCCCCAACCCCTGCCCGCCCGCCCAGGACCCGATCGGGGCGCCCAGCCCGGGACCCCGGCCACGTCCCTCCCCACCGTCATTCCAGAGGGGATTCCCGGGGCCGCTGGAGCCGCGGATTTTCCCGCTGGCTACGTGGGGAGCGGGGAGGAGTCCTGCCGTGAACTTCCTCCCGGCCTGGGCGCTGGGGGCAGGGCACCCGACTCCTGGGCCGAGGGGGGGGGTCCGGGCCCGGACCCGGGTGCGACCGAGACGCGCCTGGGGGCCGCAGCCCTGCGGGCGACCGAGGAGGGCCTCGGGCCTCGACCCTCGCTGTCCTGGCAGGAGACGCCCAGGCCCAGCTTCTAGAGCCTCCCACGTCGGCCTGGAGTTTGGGGGAACCAGGGGTCGTCCCGCCCTGCGAGAGTGGCCCGATCCCCAGCGTCCAACTCTGGTCCCGATGACTCAGCAGATGGCACAGGGGAGGGGGCCGGGCCGACTCAGGAGTGGGAAGGGCTCCCTGTCTCCAGGGAATCGAAACTGGACTCCCTCCCCCTGGACCGTGGCCAGAGCGGACCCGGGCTGCCCCCCCAACTCAGGTTTTCCCCTCTAGTCCCTGGAGCGACAGCGACGGCGCTGGGCTGGGCGGGAGGCAGGTCCCGGGCCCCTCCTCGCGCCCCCCTCCCGCCGCTCTTCCCCTGGTCCTCGGAGGCTGTGTTTACAGCAGACAGGAGCCCTGGTTACAGGAGAGGAACCCGGGCGTCCCGGCTGAGCCTCCTCGTCACGGCTTCCAGGAAGCCCCCTCCCCCGCCCCCTGCGAGTGAGTCACGGGCGAGCGGGAGGCCGCAACCGTGCCAAAGCCGCCCGCGGCCCGCCCCGCTCACGGGACCGATCTAGGAAGGCCCCTTGGCCTCAGAAAGCGCCACATTAGGGATTCCCCCCGTGCTACGACGAGGCAAGTTGGCGTGGAGCCTGGCCAGATCTCCCCACCTCAATACAAGCCCGCGGCGCAGCGTGAAAGAATGAACTTTCCACCATTATCACTCCGCTTCACGGCAATGATTTCTATCTACCCCCGTCTTTTCACTCAAGGCAGCCAGCTCATTAAGATTCCCCCCAAAAGGTCAATTTACTTCCCAGATCTTAAAGAGTTTTCACTTAGGGCAATCCTTTGAAAATAAAGGGCTTGCCAATGTGGGGGATGATCCTTGAAAATGGAGAATTTTGTAAGTCCCATTCAACCGTTGAGGAAAGCCCACGGCGACCATCTCTAAAAACTGTTGAATCCAGGCAGTCCTCCTCCACGATAAAGAACCCCCGCCGATCCAGTCCCCCCACCCATCTTTAATTTTAAATGTCTTGGAATTTGGTGGCTGAGGTTCACTACCTTTTTAAAGGAAGTAACTTGACCTCGGTTTCTTTGTGCTTAAAATGGGTATAATACCTCCCTGAGAGGTGGCGGGGATTGAGTTAATGTATGTAAAGCATTTACACAATGGCCCACCCCGAAGAAATTAGAAGTGCCATTATCAGCGTCAGCAGGAGGTGCCACAGCTGCCCATTTCAACCTGGCCTGGTAGCCCGGACCTCACCCAACCCCCACCCCCCTAAATGGGACTTGGAAAGTAGTCAGGTCTGCCGATCTAGGCTATTGGTGATGCTGCACCAAGTAAGGTCTGCGAAGAGAATTCCCTTCCAAAAGGTCTGTGGTCTCGGCTCTTCCTTTTGCCCCTGCAGATTTCTATCTCTCTGCAGGTGTTTCTCACTGTTTTTTCTCCTTTTTTCTTATGTGCCTCTCCCGTGTCGTTTTTCCTTCTGCATCTGTCTCTCAGGGGCCATCTCTGGTTTCCCCACTTCCTCCTCCCTCCTCTTTTCCCTTCCTCTTCTGTGCCTTCGTTTTTTGTTTGTTTTTTGGTTTGGGACTGGGTATTGAACCCAGGGTGCTTTGCCACTGAGCTACATCCCCAGCTTTCTTTCTTTCTTTTTTTTTTTTGAGACACAGTTTCACTAAATTGCCGAGGGTCTCGCTAAATGGCTGACACTGCCCTGGAACTTGGGATCGTCCCGCCTCAGCCTCCCAGCTGGGTTACAGGTGTGCGCCTCCGCGCCCGGCGGGGCTAGTCTCTAGCTGCGTGCGGCTCTTTGTTTTTCTCTCTGCATCTCGTCTTATCTCTGTCTCTTCCTCTGTTTCTCCCCTCCCCCAGACTGTCCGTCTCGCACGTGCACACCCACTCGGCCTCAGCCCCTGTCATTTGCCCCTGGAGCCATTCTCCCAGTTCCCTGGGCGCTTCAGGCTCTAGCTTCCCATCCCAGGCCCTCCCGCTGGGTCGAGGTTGCCTCCCGGCCAAGTTCTGGCGCATCCTAGGGGGGCGGGCGGAAGGGAACTGGTACGAGGCCCGGCGGGCCGAGCCGCGGGCGCGCGTCCGGGAAGCGCCCCTCCTGGCCCCGCCTCTCGTGACCACGCCCCCACGCGGTCCTATAAGATGCTGGCTCTCGCCACCCGCAGCAGCCTGACTTCAGCGCTCGGACTTTTGGCCCGCCCTTCATGGCCACCCGCGCCGCCATGGATCTCACTGCCATCTACGAGGTGAGTGCCCTCCGACCGCATTCCCGGGGGACCACACGCCTGACTGTCTACTCTTCTGGCGCCGCAAACTCTAGCCGGGGTCGTCGGCCTCCTTTCTCAGACCAGCCTGATTATCAGGACGGGAAAATAGAGCCCACAACTCCCGGGTCGCAGCCCAAACACGGGTGGGGCGGCCCTGGAGATGGAAAGCTGGCGCACTTTTCTAAAACTAAGGTTGCCTGGAAGCGGAAATGGCCCCCACACCTGGCTCACCCCTAGTTGCTGAGGGCGCGGTTTTGCGCGGAGGCGTTTCTGGGGTTGAAGTTCCACCGCGGGGGGCGGGGGGGACCAACTTCTGCCTCCGCTCCTAATCAGAGTTCCCAAAACCCAAGACGCGGTCTCCTAGGTCAGCTTTGCCTGGCTCCCCCAGTTAGGAAACTCATCCGTATCCCCGGAGGCCCAGAGGCTTCAAATTGAGGAACCGTTGTGTGCTCTAACTTTGGGACCCCTCTTAACTCCTCAGCGGCGCGGGGAGGTGTTTCCGGGTCCCTCAGAATAGGCGTCAGTCGCAGATAAACCCAGAACCTCCACCGGGATCCCTGGGATCTGGAACCCAGGAGTTTCTGTAATGGGGTGGGGCTCAGGCCCGGAGGCCACAAACCGGACTGGCAGGCTCTTGTGCCGTGGGGCGGGGCGTCACCCTGCGTTTTCAGTTTTCGGGTGTCCTAACCGAACACTATTCCCACAGAGCCTCTTGTCGCTGAGCCCTGACCTGTCATCCGACCACGGAGGAACTGAGTCCTCTGGACTCTGGAGCCTGAACTCATCTGACTCCAGCCCTTCTGGGGTCACCTCCCGCTTGCCTGGCCGCTCTACCAGCCTGGTGGAGGGCCGCAGCTGTGGCTGGGTGCCCCCACCTCCTGGCTTTGCACCCCTTGTTCCCCGCCCGGGGCCTGAGCAGTCGCCCTCACCCACTTCGCCTACTGCCACCCCTACCACCTCCTCCCGCTACAAGACTGAACTGTGTCGGACCTTCTCAGAGAGTGGGCGCTGTCGCTATGGGGCTAAGTGCCAGTTTGCCCATGGCCTGGGTGAGTTGCGCCAGGCCAATCGCCACCCCAAGTACAAGACGGAACTCTGCCACAAATTCTACCTCCAGGGCCGCTGCCCCTACGGCTCACGGTGCCACTTCATTCACAATCTCAACGAGGACCTGGCGGCCCCTGGCCACCCCCATGTGCTGCGCCAGAGCATCAGCTTCTCTGGCTTGCCCTCTGGCCGCCGAACCTCCCCACCACCACCAGGCCTGGCAGGCCCTTCCCTGTCCTCATGTTCCTTCTCACCCTCCAGCTCCCCACCACCACCTGGGGACCTTCCACTTTCACCTTCTGCCTTCTCTGCCGCCCCTGGGACCCCTGTGACTCGAAGGGACCCCACCCCAGCCTGTTGCCCCTCTTGCAAAAGGGCCACTCCTGGCAGCATCTGGGGGCCCTTGGGTGGCCTGGCCCGGAGCCCTTCTGCACACAGCCTGGGATCTGACCCTGATGAATATGCCAGCAGCGGCAGCAGCCTGGGGGGATCCGACTCACCTGTCTTTGAAGCTGGGGTTTTTGTGCCACCTCAGCCACCTGCAGCCCCACGACGACTCCCCATCTTCAATCGAATCTCTGTTTCTGAATGACAAGTGCCTGCCTAGTAGGCATCAGCTGGATCTCAAGGGGAGGCACTTGTGCTGTGGGAACCTGGGGGATTCCTGATTTAATCAAGTGGCCCTTCCTCCACATTCCATAATGCATTAACCCCTCCCCCATGCCACCCTGGGGCAGGTCCCCAGTGTGCAAGCTCAGTGTTCATGGTGTTGGGGGACAGTGTTTTCTGGGGTTCTTTAAAACATGTAGCATATTTGAGGGAACCAGTGAGTCCTCTCCCCTGCCCAACTGTCTCCTGGAATTGTTTGCTGTGAATAGTAGGCCCCTATGTCCCCTCCCATTTTTCCCTAGACCCGAGGTTCCAGTGTTTGGTGATTGGAACCTCCCCGAGGGAGAATCCTGGTGCTCAAATTTCCCTCCACAAGCAAGTAGCCAAAGTTATTGCCAAATCCCTCCTCCCAAGCCAGTGGGCCCCTTATTTATGACGACTTTATTTATTCTAATAAGATTTTATAGTTATTTATATATATTGGGTCGTCTGCTTCCCTTGTATTTTCCTGCCTTTTTGTAATATTGGAAACGATGGTATAATTATTGTAAGTATGCTATAATAATATATTAAGTAATATATTGTCTTAAAAATTTATTTTTGTGTTTTTGTTTTTTTGAGATTTTTAAATAAAAGGAGTCTATCAGCAAACGAATGCTGGTTTTTTCGGGGTCTAGAGGCGGTGAGGGGAGAGGGAAGGACTCTTACCCTCAGCAGGGTAGAGTCGACTGACCTTTGCGAACCCCAGCGCCAGTGGCACTTACCTGGCAGGAAGTGACGTCAGCGGACCCGGCCCTTCACCTGAGAGGGCGGGTCCAGGTGAGGTCACCCGTAAGAACCGGGAGAGCCAGTTCCCGGGGCGTGGGGGGCGCTGCGCTCCTGTCTCATCGGGCTCCTTGACCTAGCTCGGGCGGGGACGGGATGTTTCCGTCCCCACGGGGCCAAGGGAGGCGGGCCGGGCGGAATTGAGAGGACGGAATGTGCCGGAACGCGAGCCCAGGGCGGGCGGGGGCGGCGGGGCCGCAGAGGCGGGGGTCACCCCCGGGGCCCAGGCTCCTGGGGCCGCGGCACCCGCCTCAGCACTTGAACCCGGGGGACTCGGACCTTCGGGCTGTTGCGGGAGGGGGCCCGAAGTCTACAGAGTCGAGAATCTCAGCACTTTGGAATCTCAGGCTGTGTCGCTTCCAATCTAGGCACGACTTCCTATCTAGACGCTGGGGTCTCACGGGGACCCCCGGCATCCCCGGGACACTGGGTCCTCGGGGTTACAGGGTTGGTGCTTGTCGGGACCGAGAAGTTCAGAACTTCGGGATCCGGGCATTTCTGGACATTGGGAATGCAAGGCGTGGGACTCCTCCAGCCGGGGTGCCTCTCCCAGCCGGTGTGCGTGGGTCGTGGACGCGCGTCCGGGCGGGGCCCTGGGAGCCGCGTCCCCGGACCATACAAGGCAAGAGGCGTCGGGAGCCGCCCCCCCGGAGTGGGGGCGCCGAGCCCGGAAGCCGTCCCACGTCAGACCTGCGCCCCACCCCTCGCCCGCAGTCTCCTCCCTCCCTTGACCCCTCTTTTCTCTCCACTTTCCCTCCTCCCTCCCACTTCCCTCTCGTCCCCTCCCTTTTCCCCTTTGCCTCCAGTTCTCCTCTTCTTAGCTCCTCCCCTCCCGAGTACTCCTCTCCCCCAGCCCTTTCAGCCTCCCACCCTCTCCTGCCCCTCACCCCCTCTTCTAGTTACCCTTCTCCTCCTTTCTTCCCTCCCCGATCTATCTTCCGCCTCCTCACTCTTTCCTCTTCTGCAGCCACTTTCCCTCCTCCCCTCCTCTGCCTCCCTTGTCCCTCTTCTCATCCCACTGGCTGATTGTGACCTTTGGTCTTCTCTTCCAGGAAACTGCCTCCTTGTGGGAAAGGGCTCAGGCCCTGGTATGTGGGAGAGAGGGAAACAGAAACCCGAAGACCCAAAGGCAGAGAGCAAGAGTAAGCAGTGCCAAAACATCTGCAGAAAGAGACGTGGACCCAGAAAGAACACCAAGAAGCAGAAATATCTGATTGATTCCCAAAACAGTAAAACCTGCAACCTGCGCTGGGGTGTCACCAGTGGGAGAGCTCCTGAACAAAGCCCTGGGTTCAGTCCCAGCACCAGCCAAACAAAACGAAACCCTCAGCTAACAAAACGACACCTACCACCAGTGATCAGGACTCAGGCCAGACACCTGGGACCCGGGAATCCCTTGTCACCTTTCTCAAACCCATACTGCAGCCCGAAACAATTCATCGACCAGCTCCACCCTCCCCCAGGACTATCTCCCCCTGGTCCTATCTAGCATCTCCCACTTGAGCCTTCTTCACAGCAGCTTCCTCAATCTCTCTGTTCCAGCCTGTCCTTTCTCTTTTCTCCACTCCCCCAGGGGACAAACAAGGGAAGCCTGTTAGGACACCTGATCACAAAAAGTCAAAAGTCCTAAGTCCTCTATGCATCCTACACAACCTGGCTCCCATCTGCTGCCCTCCCCCTGCTCATGTGACCTCAGTCACTGCTTTCCTAGCTGCTCCACCAGCACATCTGGCCCGTTACAGCCACAGGGCCTTTATGCTGGCTGTAAAGGCTGTCCTGTCCCTCTGCCTGCATGACACCCTGGTGTCCTCAAAGCTTACTCCCCTCCTTTGGGTCTTTGCTCAGATGAGATTATCCCGGACTGGTTCTATTACAACCCAGACCCCCTCCATTCCCCAACTTTCTACCTTGCTCTACTTTCTGCATGGTATTTGTCATCACCAAACATAAAAAGTGTACTTCATTCTGCCACAGTGGTGGCACAGGCCTATATTTCTGCTGCTACTCAGAAGACTGAGACAGGAAAGTCCTAAGTTCCGGGCCAGCCTGGGCAACTTAGCTAGACCCTGTGTCAAATTAAAGAAATACATAAAAGGGCTGGAGACCTATCTCAATGACAGGGAGCCTCTAGGTTCCATCCCCAGTCCTGAAAAAAAAAATTTTTTTTTACGTTTATTGGATTCTGCCTTCTCAGTAGAATGACAAGTTCTCAGGGGCAGAGACTTATTTACCGCTGTATCACCCACAACTAAACGGAACTTGGCACATAATGAGTTTTTCAAATTTGGAAAAAAAAAAAAAAATCGAACCGGTGCCTCCTGGGGAGCTGAGGCAAAGGATAATTAGTTTGAGGCCAGCTTCCGCAATTAGTGAGACCCTGTCTCAAAATAAAAATGTTTAAAAAGGGGGATGCAGCGCAGGGGTAAAGCATCCCTGGGTACAATTCCCAATACTGCCACGGAAAGAAAATAAATGGATTAAGAGACCGAGAAAAGAGGGTTAAAAAGAGGAGAAATATAGAGAAAGCGGCAAAGCTTTCATACAGTTTTGCGGACCCACAGCCTGTCATACCGCTACAGAAGTCTTAAACTAGGTGAGTCCCATCCAACACTGAAAAAAAGAAAAAGTCATAAATTCAGATTTACAGACTCAAATCGAGGCTCAAGACATCTGGTGAGAGGCGGTACCTCCCCCTGGCGGCAAGAATGGAAACGGCACCTTCCCACTATACAGAACACTTTCTCAACCCACCGTCGCGAAAAGAGTTTTTCCAGCCGCAAAAATCAGATGGCAGTGTTCATTGCTCTCAGTGATGTAGACGTCTGGTTGACCCACAAGATATATAAGAATAAAAACTGATTAGAAAACTAATAATATTCCTTAGGGAAAAAGGACTGCTCCAGGTGAGGATCGAACTCACAACCTCGGCATCGCTCCGCCCGCACTGTCTTATAAGTACCGCGCGCTAACCGATTGCGCCACTGGAGCTCCGGCCGCACCCTTGCGCCGTTGAGTCCTTCAGTCGTTCTTAGCCACGTGACCTCTCCAGGAGGATTCTTTCCTATATTGTGTATGCAAATAGAACTCTTTTGACTGACCAATCGGAAAAAGAGTACGTCCTGTTCCGGATTCTCACGCCTCGTAGGCCCTTGCTGTAAAAGGGAAAAGTCTGCGAGGCGCTTGGAATGTGGGGCTGTGGCCGGCCCGAGGATCCGCCTCCTCATGAATATTCAGAATCAAGGCGGGGGAGGGGCCTTAACCCTTCGTTGGCGGGCCGGCCGGAAGGCGGCCCCTCCCCCCCACGGGCGGGAACAGGATGTGAGCCTGGGCGGCAGAGGGGGAGGGGAAGCCTCCGGCGACCGCCCCCCACCCCACAGCTGGGACCCACTTCTCCCGCCCCAGATGTGGCGGTGACGCAGCCGCCGGAGCCCGGTGCCATCCATCTCGGAGTCAGAGGGGTCCAAAGTCTCGGACTCGGGAGTCTGGAATTTCTGCACCGCTTCTTGAGAGACCTCGAAGTCCAGGCCCCCGCGACCCTACTCGAGGACCTCAGGTGCCCAGCGCCCCCTCCTGGGGGAGCCAGGAGTTTGGGACGTCAGCCCCGCGGGACCCGGGAGGCCGAGCGTCCGGCACCCGCGTTAGAAGAACTCGGGATCCCCGAACTCACATCCCCTCCAAGAGTACAGAAATCCGAGCCAGGGTCCCGGGTTGGAGAAACTTGGGATCCGGACCCCTAGCGCCCCAGCCAGTCTGTTTGGGGCTGCGGCAAGCACCACTTCAAGGGGACCCAGGAATTCTGGACCCCTTGCGCTCCGCCTCGAGGTGATTTAGTCCCTGCCCCTAGAGTTAGGGGAACTCACGGACCCGGGTTCTCCTACAGTTCTACCTAGAATGTTAAGGAGTTTGGGTCCCAGCGTCCGCATCCGAGACTCCAGTACCCCCCTCTTAGAACACCAAAAATTCGGACTATCGGACCCGCTTCCCGAGGGGCCCAGGATGCTGGTTCCCGGAGTCCGAGAGCCCGAGGTCCACATGCCTGAGTTCTGCTCTGGGTCTCCCTGGGGACCGGCTTAGGGTAGACTGGGAATTCGGCTCCCGGGCGCGCGCGGGCAGCTCCCCGGGAGGTGCGGGGAGCGAGGGGCCCGGGCGGGCTGGGGGAGGGGGCGGCGCCGCAGTGAACAATGAGGGGGCGTGCCGGCCGGGCGAGCGGAGGCGCCGGCGGGAGTTGGGGGCCGAGGGGTGTGGGAAGGCGCTGGGGAGGTTTTGGCGGCCGGGACAGTGATCTGGTCGGGAGGGATCGACTGGAGGAGGGTGGAGGGCTTGCGGCCAGCGCCCCAGTGCTCAGTCCTCAGCGGGGGAGGGAGCCGTCTGCAGGACCCTGGCATCCGGTCCCCCAGCCTCCGCCCTCCCCTGGGACCCCGCGGCCTCCCGCCCACGGCTTTTCCCAGCCCTGCCCCTAGCCCTCGGCTCCAGCCAGAACTCAAATGTTCCCAGGATGCCTGATTCTCCGACTCCAGGCCGACGGGACTCCTAGCTTCTGCGACTTGCTCTTTTCATTCTTTGTCTCAACCTTTCCATCTTCTCAAGGTTCTCTCCTTATCCCCCTTTTCCTGTCACTTTGCCTGTCTTCCCCATTAGTTCCTCCCAAGGGGCCCCTCCCTTCTAATTCCCAGAGCCCCATATGTGAGTGTGGAAGGCCAGGAGGCCTGTGGGGTCCTGTACCCAAGAAGGGGGTCTTTCCGCAGGTTGCTGCTGCAGTGCTGCTGAGCCATGCCTGAGGGAGCCCGCGGACTGAGCCTGTCCAAACCCGGCCCCAGCCCCAGCCCTGGGTGCAGTCACAGAGGTCAAGCCTGTGAGTGCCCAGCTGTGGGTGAGACCCCGACAGGTGAGCAACCAGGCAGGTAGAGCCTGTAGGCATGTTTCTTATTCAAGATTTGAGGAACCCTGTGTGGCTAGTCTAGTGCTGGACAGTGTTGGCAACACAGGGGATGACCAAGACAACCCAGCCCTGTCCTCACAGAGTTCCTGATCTGGTGGGGGGAAAGACAGCTCTTCACAATCAGTGACAGCCCAGAGGGGAAAGCCTGGGACCAAGTGGCCAGGGCTGTGGTGCAGACACCTGGGAGGTATGGGAATCCAGTCTGGGAAGTCAGGCTTCCTGGAGGTGGCAATAGCTAACCAAGAATTGAAAGGCTGGGAGGAGAGAGTTGGACAGTCAAGGAAGACTGTCCCCACAATGGCCACACTGGGAACAGTATGTGCAAAGACCTGAGCCGCGGCTTTGGGTAACTGAAAGAAATTGGGGGTGACTGGAGTACAGGGCAAGGTGACGTGCGGCAGTGGGAAGAGAGCTGACTGGAGAGGTGTCGTGGCCACTTTGCACGGGGGCCTGTGGATCTGAGGAGTTTGGGCGTTAGTCAAGGGCATGAGGGTTACGTTCCTGTGCGTGATGGAGTACGAGGAGCAGGTGGGTGGAGTAGATAAACTAGTGGCAGAAGCTCATAGAGAGCCCTGATGGGAGAAGGTGGGGCTTGACCAAGGCTGGGACGTAAGGAAGAGAGGAAGAAGCCTTTGGGAAGGATTTGGCCAAGTGAGGTGAGTGGGCTACGGGAGGGGGCTTGGGAGAACCCCTGACCTCTCACTCCACATTCCAGCAGCCCCTGCAGCCCCCGCCATGGCTTCCCCTCGAGGTTCTGGGAGTTCCACATCCCTGAGCACTGTGGGCTCTGAGGGAGACCTGGCTCCAGGGCCCGGCCCAGCCTCCTCAGCCTCCAGGCCAGAGCCCCTGCCAGGTCCCCCCATTCGCCTGCATCTGTCACCTGTTGAGGTCTCTGGTTCGGCAAAACCCTCGCGGCTGGAGCGTGTGGCCCGTGAGATTGTGGAGACAGAGCGGGCCTATGTCCGGGACTTACGCAGCATTGTGGAGGTGAGGTGGGCAGGCAACTGAGGGCAGTGGGGACCGCAGACAGGCCCCTTGGCCCCAGTAACCCCAGTCATCCCTACAGGACTACCTAGGTCCCTTGATGGATGGTGGGGTCCTGGGGCTGAGCATGGAGCAGGTGGGCACCCTGTTTGCCAACATTGAGGACATCTATGAGTTCAGCAGGTGAGGCGGGGGTGCTGAATGCTGTTGGGATGTGTCCTAATGTACAACTTGGAGCCCTGTAGCATTTGGTCCAGGCGGCACATGGGGTATGGTGACATCAGTCAGAGTTCGTGATAGAGTGAGGGCCCAGGAGCGTAGGGGACAGGAATCTAAGAATATGGATGAGGTCCAAACATCAGGAGGGGGTCTCAGTGCAGTGCCAGGCTCACAGTGAATCCAAGAGTCTTGTGGGGCCTGAAGGTCATAGCCATGTGAGCACTGTGACCAACTTGTCCTGATTTGCTCAGGACTTTCCCAGTTTTAACCCTGTAGGTCCCTTGTCCTGGGAAATTGCTTAGTCCCAGAGAAATCAGAGTGGTTGGTGACCCTGGTGAGGAGAGTGTTGGGTTCAAAAAATCATGACATATCTGAGTGCTTTGGTGAGATCTCGGGATCACAATAAGGTTGTGGCTTTAGCAGTCATGATACCCTTCTCCCCTGGGCCATAGTGTTCCTTTTATGTCATGACATAAACCCACCCTCCCCACCCCTGTTCATACCAGTTGTGACAAGATGTCAGTCTAAGGAATGTGAAGCTGTCCAAGGACAAAGTCTAAGCAGGTTGCAGTATCCCGGGTAGTCAGCAAAGACCCTTCCTCTGGTTAAGACATCCCCTTGAGAGACCCTGGCTATCGCCAGACCCTAGCCCCTGTGGACCATTGGGAGGTCTTCATGTGGGGGACACATGGAGGCAGTTCCTCACCTTCCCCTCCTCCACAGTGAGCTCCTGGAGGACTTGGAGGGCAGCCGCAGTGCAGGGGATATTGCTGAGTGCTTCGTGCAGAGGGTGAGTAAAGCCAGGATTCTCAGCCAGGACCCGCCTGGCAGAGGGGAGCAGGCCTGGGCTAGGCAGGAGGGGGCCATGGAAGCTGGGAGCTGGGGTTTCCCTGACTCCTGTCTCCTGCAGAGTGAAGACTTTGACATCTACACGTTGTACTGCATGAACTACCCCAGGTGAGCTGTGGGGAGCCCTGCTAAGCCCCAGGCTAGTAGCCAGCCCTCCTCCCTGTACCCCCTGACTGCCCTTGGCCCCTGCCAGACCCTGACTGTCCCCAAACCCTGGCCACTTGCTGAGCCCTTCCAGCTCCACCCCTAGAACTGCCAGTCCCCCCTGACCTGTGCTGTGCCCCCAGCTCCCTGGCCCTGCTCCGGGAGCTCTCGCTGTCTCCACCAGCATCCCTGTGGCTGCAGGAGCGCCAGGCCCAGCTTCGTCACTCACTGCCCCTGCAGAGCTTCTTGCTGAAACCCGTTCAGCGCATCCTCAAGTACCATCTGCTGTTACAGGTCAGCTGTGGCCCCTGGGGGAGGGCAGGGTCCCAGCCATTGGTCACCTTCTGGTACTTCTGGACCATGGGCCCAGCAAGAGTTGGGCCAAGCCTGCGGAGGTGTCCTCTGACTTTCCCCCAGACTCTGCCCTTGGGGAGGCATCTGGGCCCCAGAAACTGGGCCAGTGTTTGGTGTCAGGTCTCACTGGCCGTAGGGACTGGCACCCCGCATTCCACAGTCCGGTTTTCTCCGTCTCTGCCTCCTACTCTGCATTTCTCCTCGGGTAACTCTCGTGTCCTCTCTTTTCTTCCCTGTGTACCTGACCTGCTGGCCACGTGGCAGGAGCTAGGCAAGCACTGGGCAGAGGGCCCTGGTGCCGGAGGCCGAGAGATGGTAGAAGAAGCTATTGTGTCCATGACAGCGGTCGCCTGGTACATCAATGACATGAAGCGCAAGCAGGAGCATGCAGCGCGCCTCCAGGTGGCCCAAGAGTGGGCTGGGCTGGCCGTGGGGAGTGAGCCGTGGGCCTGGGGCGGGGGTCAGTGCTTCGAGGCAGCCTTAAAGGGTTGGCTCAGAGCAGGTCCCTGTCACTAACCTCCCCGTGTGGCGTGTGTATTTATGTGCCACCTGTTCGTGCCTGTCCCTGCTCCTGGTGGGGTCCCAACAGGAAGTGCAGCGGCGGCTGGGCGGCTGGACTGGCCCGGAGCTCAGTGCTTTCGGGGAGCTGGTGCTGGAGGGCGCCTTCCGAGGTGGTGGAGGGGGTGGCCCCCGGCTGCGAGGGGGTGAGCGGCTGCTCTTCCTGTTCTCACGGATGCTGCTTGTGGCCAAGCGCCGGGGGCCAGAATACATCTACAAGGGCCACATCTTCGTGAGTTTGGGCATGGGGCCGGGCTAGACTGTTACTACCTGGTATGTTCTATGTCCCTGTAACTGTAAACCTAAAAGGGTGGGGGTGTTAGACAGCCTGGTTTAAAAGTGCCACATTTCCTTGGGTTCAAATGTAGCTTAAGGCTTGTTAGGAGGTACAGGGCTGGTAGGGTATGCGAGTAGTGATGGGGTGAGATCTGCAAGGGAAAACCTGGATTTGCCCATGAGGCAAGTGTCTTCATGGGGGGAGGGACCATGGGGGGCCTGGTGAGGGCAAGAACAGAGCCTAGCCCTGTGGGGAAAGGGGATGTGGCATATGGTCTTATAGGATGCATCCTATGGGGGCATAGGCCCAGATACACCTCCCGGGCATCTTAGTGCCTGCAAGACTTGGGGCTGGGCCTACAGGACATTGAGCCAGGCGCCTCTCTGCCCCTAATCCAGTGCTGCAACCTGAGTGTGAGTGAGAGTTCTCGAGACCCTCTAGGGTTCAAGGTGTCCGATCTGACCATTCCCAAGCACAGGCACCTGCTCCAGGTGAGCATAGGGGTGGGTTGGGCTGCAGGGTTCCCCCCAGACCTCACTCCTGGCTTCCTGACTCTATCCCACCATCAGGCTAAGAACCAAGAAGAGAAGAGGCTGTGGATTCACTGTCTCCAGCGCCTCTTCTTTGAGAACCACCCTGCCTCCATTCCTGCCAAGGTACAGCTCCTGCCACTGTGTGGGGCCGGGGGCTGGAGTGCTGGAGACCCTACCCCCATAGTACCGGAAGACCCTCTGAGTACAGGGACACTCCTGTAACATGGTCACTAAAGGCACAGAATTAGACCACCTGGGCTTGAATCTCAGCTTCACCATGACCCTGCTTTGTGACCTTGGGCAAGTCATTTTTAACCTCTTTGGGTCTCAACTTTCTTACCTGGGGGAATTCTGGTGGCCACCTCCTGGGTTCGTGGTGAGGATTAGTGGTCATCAGCCACGTCAGGCCTGATGCAAAAGCACCCGTTTATGAGAATGGTGTGGTGCTCGCAGACCAGCCGACTTGACCCTCACCCGTGTCTCTTTCAGGCAAGACAAGTTCTCCTGGAGAACAGCCTGCACAGTGAGTTGGGACCTTGGGCCGGGAGGCTGTGGAAATTGGACAGTTACTTCCAAGGACAAGTGGGTTTTTAGCCTGAAACTCTCTCCACAGGTGCTCTGAAAAGTAAGACTGTCCCAGAGCCCCTTACACCCCCACTCGGGTCTCCCCAACCTCGGGATGCTGGAAATTTCACCCCTGGCCGAAGGAATACAGGTAAATGAGGGCGGGCTGAGGCTGGCCCCCCAGCCCTCCCCTCCCAGGATCTCGGGGTCAGCTCCTTACACGATTCCGACCTGCCTCTCCCACAGCTCCATCCCCAGGGCTCTCTGCTGCTCGTCGTGGCCGCAGGCAGTCTGGTAAGTACCTCCACCTAGAGGTGACCCCGAAATCCAGTGAGAGCGAGGCTCCTGATATCACTGTATCCTCCCCAGAGCCAATGAAGGATCCGTATGTCATGTTTCCACAGAACGGTCAGTGACTGGTCCCTCCCTCTGTCTGTCTGTTTCTCTTACCCCAGGGGATACCCAGGGTGCTGGAGGAAGGGGATGGGGTCATTCATTAATTAGAAGGAATAACTCTTTTCTGCATCTCACTCTTTCTCTTCCTGTTTCTCCATCTCCAGATAAGCCTGGATTCAAGGTAAGAAGCACCCTAAAGCAAGGCCTAGAGGTCTGGGTCTGATGGAGGAGGAGTTTTAAGTTCCAAAATCCTGGGTCTGAATAAAAGGGTTGGGGCTTAGATTCCCCCAACTGAAGGAGGGAACTGGGACCCAAAGTCAAGGGCCAGGGCCCTCCTGGCTCCTGGCTTCCGCTCACTCTCCTCACAGCATGCTGGCAGCGAAGGGGAGCTGTATCCCCCCTCAGAATCGCAGCCAACAGTCCCAGCTTCTGGACCCCCTGAAGACCTGGAGGATGCTGGGCCCCCTTCACTGGACCCCTCTGGAACCTCAATCACTGAAGAAATCTTGGAACTGCTAAACCAGAGAGGCCTCCGGGATCCTGGGGTGAGCTGGGCACCTCATCATGGGATTCTTGGGACTCTGTTTTTCTTCTTTGGTACTGGGATTTATTCCAGGGGCACTTGCCCACCGAGCCACATCCCCAGCCCTTTTCATATTTCTTTTAGAGACAAGGTCTTGCCTGTTGCTTAGGGCCACGCTAAGTTGCTGAGGCTGGCTTTGAACTTACAATCCTCCTGTCTCAGCCTCCCGAGCTTCTGGGATTACAGGCGTGTACCACCGCCCCCGTCATGTTCTTGGGACTGTGTTATGGGCAGACAGAGAGCAGGGACCAGGTCAGCCAGCCCACCCTGATGTCTTGGCTTCTTCCCATGCTCACTACAGCCAGCAATCCACGACAGTCCCAAGTTCCCCAGAGACTCCCAGGTGCCAGGCGACAGCAAACCGCTCACATTCCAAGCCCTGCCCAGCCGGGACTCTTCAGAAGAGGAGGAGGAAGAGGAAGAGCTGGAGATGGATGAACGGGAACCTTCTCCACTCCACGTCTTAGAGGGGCTTGAAAGTCCCAGTGCAGCTGAAATTCCCGACATTCCCAGTCTTACTAAGATTCCTGACATACCTAGCCTCCCCGAAATTCCCGAAGTTCCCTGCCTTCCTGGTCTCTCTGACATTCCCAGTGTTTTTGAAATGCCCTGCCTTCCATCCATTCCCAGTGTGCCTGACGTTCCCAGTCTCCCCAGCGCTCCTGCTCCCTGTGACTCCTGGCTCCCATGCCCTCTGCAGGAGCCGGCCGAGGCCTTAGCCCTCAGGAGAGAACTGTTCCCTAGAAGCAACCCTGGGGAGCTGGGAGAGCCTCCCTCAGAAAGCAGGGCAGGACAGGAGCAGGAAGGAGAAGGGATATCATTCCCAGATTTCCAGCCCCAGGATGTCACCCAAGCTCAGGGATTCCCAGATGAGCTGGAATTTCGCTCTTGCTCAGAAATCCGAAGTGCATGGCAGGCATTGGAGCAGGGGCAGCTGGCCCGGCCAGGCTTCCCAGAGCCACTGCTGATCCTGGAGGATTCGGATCTGGGTGGAGGCAGCAGGAGTGGGAAGGCAGGAGCCCCGCACTCAGAGCGGGCAGCGTCCCGAGTGCGAGAGCTGGCCCGGCTTTACAGTGAGCGGATCCAACAGATGCAGCGGGCTGAGACGCGGGCATCAGCCAATGCCCCCCGCCGCCGGCCACGGGTCCTGGCCCAACCTCATCCATCCCCATGCCTGCTCCAGGAGCAGGTCAAGCCAGGTGAGGTCTGGGTGGGTGTGTGATCAGTGGAGGTGGCCCAAGATGGGGCACTGGAACCCAAACGTCTGAGAGGTTTTGGGACAAAGATAGTGGAGGGTTGGCTAGGATCTGATGGTCCAGGTGCTGCCATCAGCAAAGGGCTGGCCGCAGGATCAGTCCTGACTCATCCGCTTTGCACACAGGGCCCAGGCCTGCCTTTGGACATGTGCTGGTATGTGAACTGGCCTTCCCACTGACGTGTGCCCAGGAATCTGTCCCCCTGGGCCCTGCTGCCAGGGTTCAGGCGGCCGCACCTTTATCTAGACTGGGAGGCCACCTGGATGGCCAGAGTCTAAATGTTTCAGATTTGCCTGAGCAAGGCCATCTGGGCATTCATGCTCCCGCTGTTGCCCCTTTACTTGGGCAAGGAAGCCTCCAGAATGTCCCGGCTCCAGCTGCATCACCTTTGCAGAAGCAAGAAGGCCCTCCAGCCATCCAGGCCCCAGCTGTTCCAGCTGTGTCTGATCAAGGCCACCTGGAAATCCAAGTTCCAGCTACCACTTCTTTGCCTGTACAGAGAAACCATGTGGATACTCAGGTTCCTTCCGCCACCTGCCTTCCTGAGCAAGAGCGCCATGTGAACGTCCAGATTCCAACCAGCACAGCATGGCCCCAGCACAGAAGTTGCTCTGATGTCATGGTTTTAGCCAGCACCCCTTTGCCCAGGCAAGAAGGCCACCTGGATAGCCAGAACCCCACCAGCATCCTCAGAACTGAACAGGGAAGTGCCAGGGCTGATCAGGGCTCAGCCAGTGTCTGTGTCCAAGCTGTCAACCTTTTGCTGACACATGAGAACAGCTTGGACCATCAGATTCCAGCCAGCACGCCACTTGCTTCATCACGTCACCTCCCAGACACTCAGGTTCCAGGTACCTCACCTTTGCCTGCACATGGAGGCCCCCTGGACCATCTGCTTCCTGCCAGTGCTCCACTGTCTTTACTCCAAGAACCCCCAGACATTCAGGTTCCAGCCGCCCCCCCCTCGCCCCAGCCACAAGGCCTCGGAAACACCAGGGACACCGGGAACCAGGCCCTCCCCCCTTCGCTCAAGCAGGCAGGCCTTGGGGACACCCAGGCTCCAGCTGCTTCCCCACTGCTTCCAGAGCACAGCCTTGTGGACACACAGGCCCCCAAACTTACCCCTTTGTTGGGGCAGCAGAACCCCGTGAACATCCCTGTTCCGGCTCCCACGCCTTTACCTGAGCAAGGAAGCTCTCGGAACGTTCAGAGCCTGGTGCCCACCCCGGTTCAGACCACCATGGTTTTATCCAAACCAGGAGACCCTTCCATGTCTCCGGTTTCCAGGTCAGAGTCTTCAGACTGCACCCCTCCCCACAGCCCCCCGCGCCCCACACGGCAGCTCCTGGGCCCCAATGCAGCTGCCCTCTCTAGATATCTGGCTGCCTCATACATCAGCCAGAGCCTGGCTCGGCGGCAGGGGCCTGGAGGAGAGGCCCCTGCAGGCACCCGGGGTCCCTGGTCTTCCTCTGCCCCCACTTCCAGGGCACCTTCGCCGCCACCCCAGCCCCAGCCCCCACCGCCCCCAGCCAGGCGGCTCAGTTATGCCACCACTGTCAGCATCCAGGTGGGGGGTGGGGGCCGGCTGCGGCCAGCCAAGGCCCAGGTCAGGTTGAACCACCCTGCTCTGCTGGCCCCTACCCAGGAGCCTGTGGGCCTTCGAAGGGCCCAGGGGACTCCTGATGCCCCTTTCCACACATGAGCCATATCAGACCACCTAAATGGCGTTTGACCAGATGCCATGTGCTCTCAGGACCCCACCTGGAAGTTCCGACACAGGTCTACAAATGGCTGCAGCTGCATACCTGGGATCTGCTTTCATAAACGTCCCTTGCCTTGCTACAGCAGGGGTAGGGAAGGAGATGTCATTAATATTTTGTTAATTAACATGAAATTATGTGTGTTTTCCGGTTTTGGACGTGGTGGGGGATAATAGGACCTGATGAATGGGAAGTGACACACAAGCCTGTGACTGGCGTACCTCTTCCAATTCATGAGCCTACCTGTGGGACCTGCTTATCCAACTATTTCTACCCTCCTCATCCTTGCACCCAACCGTAACCCAACCCATGTCGCATTCCATTCCTCCCTCAGGCCACCTGCCATCTCCCCTCCATCCTAACAACATCCATCCATCCACATTTTCACCCTGACTCCATACACCTCGCTCAGCCATCTCCAGATCCATCAGCTGACCCATCCGTTCCTCCCTAATTAGGTTCTTCTGGGTCTTGTTACCACAAAACTTCAGAGATGTGCCAGAACCAGGGCAGATAAGGTTTGGGTTCTAGCAACAGTGTCCCACATCTGTTTGGTTTCTCTTAGCAACAACCCTCCCCAGTATGAATATCCCAATTCTTTTGCTCCCCCTCACTTGGGACCTCCACAGTTCTTCAACAGGCCCATGTGGGAGGAGGCTCCCACAAAATAATTCAGATTGTGAAAACAGAAGGCTTTTTATGGCAGAGCCCTTCTCCCCCTCCTTCCTACAGTGGTATGCCCAGTGAGAAGCCTAATCTACACAGCTTGTGTGAAGAGAATACCAGCTTCTTTCATCAAACACATCTTGTGCTTCAGCATGGTGTTTTTCTGTGGAATTCTGAGGCACCCGTGTCATGGCCGCAAGTTCAGGCCCTATATTTATTTACTTGGTTGTGTGCCCTTCCTTTCTGAGCCTGTTCTCTCATGTACAAAATGACTCAGGAAAGACCCTAGCTTCGAGCCATGTTGTCATTTCACAAATGTGTCTGCACCTCTGACCAGGGGCATCATTGAAATCACAGATCCTCCAAGGTCTGATCCCTCCCTACTGAATAAAAACCTCTAGGATAGGAGCGTAGGAATCTGAATTTTAGTACTAGCTAAAAACATACAAAAAATCTGGATTTATCTCAGTGTGGTGGCACATGCCTGTAATCCCAGCAACTCAGAAGGCTGAGGCAGGGGATCCCAAGTTTGAGGCCAGCCTGGGCAATTTAGCAAGACCCTATCCTGTCTCAGAATTTAAAAAGGGTAAATAAAAGTTGATATTTACTGGGTACTAGCTGCATACCAGAAGTCTTATGGACACTTTATGTGAAGTCAATCACTTTTGATCTTAACATCTCAAAAGGCAAGTGGCAGGGAGGGTGGGGTTGTTTTGTTGCCCAGCATTTAACCCAGGGTCTAACATGTGCTTGACAAATGCTCTACCAATGAGCTACACCCTCAAGCTCTAAGGATGTGTTTTAATCACTCATGAGGAAACTGAGGCAAAGAGATAAGGCACTTACTTGGGGCCACAACCAGAAAGGGGCAGAGATGGGATAAACCTACACAGCCAGGTTCTGTGAGCGCCTATTCAATGCCCTGAAATGCTTGCCCCCAAAAGACATTAAGAGCAGGTGTTTCTTTGGCCCCAGGAGGCTCATGGCCAGATGCTCCCAGGATCCCAGGTGATCAATGCTTAGCTGACTCAGGCAGCAGCCCAAGGCCTGGCTCAGTGTTGGCCGCTGTGCCCCAGGGCCTGGGCTGAGTCCTGGAAGCCTCTGATGGAGGTGGACTCAAGTTTGCAGTCATCAGGACTCCACTGCGGCCTCCAAGGTCAGGCCTGAGCAGCACATTCCCAGCCGCCCCCAGCTGTCCATTCCCTGAAGGAAAGTTCCCGGCTTGGCCTGAGCTCCACAGTGGCGGTGGAATTCCTGGTATTTAAGGAGAGGGGAGGGGAAAAGGAGCTGTGTCTAAGGCAGAAACTGGGAAGGAGAGGCTGCCCCTTTCCAGATGTGCTCCAGCTGTGTTCCTGGGAGGGAGCCAGGAGCCTCAATAAAGGGATCTTTGGACCCTTGGGAATACCATGGGCCCTGGGCCCACCTCAGCCCCACCTCCTAGTGTGTGAATTCCATTTCTCAGGCCCAACTCCTACTATAGGGCACTTTTTTCTTTTAAAATGGTACTGGGAACTAAACCCAGGTCTCCTACCTATGAGCTCTATCTCAAGGCTTTTTTTTTTTTTTAGTATTTATTTTTTAGGTATAGATGGACACAACACAATGCCTTTATTTTTATGTGGTGCTGAGGATTGAACCCGTTCCTGGCCCGTGCTAGGCAAGAGCTCTACCGCTGAGCCACAATCCCAGCCCTATCTCGAAGCCTTTTTAAAATTTCTGAGTTTGCAACCCTCCTGCCTTAGCCTACAAGTTGCTGGGATTACAGTTACGAACCACCATGTCCAGTTAGGAGTGTCCTGCTGAGGGCCAACCAGTCTGCCTGCTGAGTGACTTTTTTTGGAGATAAGGCTAAAATCGGGTTCAGAAAGTTACTCCGGCACGGTGGTACATGCCTGTAAACCCAGTGGCTCGGGAGGCTGAGGCAGGAGGATTTTAAGTTCAAAGTGTGCCTAAGCAACTCATTGAGACCCTGGTGTCTAAACTAAATATTAAAAGGGCTGGGGAAAGCCAGGCACAGTGGTGCATGCCTGTAATCCTAGCAGCTCAGGAGGATACAGTTCAAAGCCAGCCTCAGCAAAAGCAAGGCAACAACAACTAGTGAAACCCTGTCTCTAAATAATACAAAATAGGGCTGGGATGTGGCTCTGTGGTTAAGTGCCCCCCCACCACCACAAAAAAGGGAGGGGGAGGCTGGGGATGTGGCTCAGTGGTGGAACACCCCTGGGCTCAAACCCTAGTACCAAAAATGAATGAATAAATAAATAAAAAGGGTTAAGCTGGCTGTAGTCCCAGCTACTCTGTAGACCAAGGCGGGGGGATCACTCGAGTTCAAGAATTAGAGGCCAGCCTGGGTAATGTCCTGAGACCCCATCTTAAAAAGTGGGGACAGGGGGCAGTTTAAGAAAAAAGGAATGGGCTGGGGATGTGGCTCAAGTGGTAATGTGCTCGCCTGGCATGCGCGGGGCGCCGGGTTCGATCCTCAGCACCACATAAAAATAAAAATAAAGATGATGTGTCCACTGAAAACTAAAAAATAAGTATTTAAAAATTCTCTCTCGGGTTGGGGATGTAGCTCAAGCAGTAGTGTGCTCGCCTGGCATGTGTGCGGCCCGGGTTCGATTCTCAGCACCACATACCAACAAAGATGTTGTGTCTGCCGATAACTAAAAAAAATAATATTTAAATAAAAACTCTTTTTTTAAACAATGCACTTTTTTTTTTTAAAAGAGAGAGCGCGAGCGCATTTTAATATTTATTTCTTTAGTTTTCGACAGACATAACATCTTTGTATGTGGTGCTGAGAATCGAATCCAGGCCGCATGCATGCCAGGCGAGCCCGCTACCGCTTGAGCCACATCCCCAGCCCCTCTCTCTCTTAAAAAGGTGCAGGCAAGAAAATGAGACAATAATCAGAACCAAGTTACTGAGAGTGGTCTTCAGCAGACCCTGGCTCAGATGGCATCTCTCCCTGGAAGCCCACCAGACACTCCAGGCAGGATCCAGTATTTTTGTGGGCCCAACTTCCTGGGCTTCTCCCACAGGTGGACTGTTTTGAGTTGCTGCTTACTGACCGACTGGAACAGAGAGGGGCTCTTGGATAGAACTGTGGCTGCCTCATGTATTTACAGCCTGGGTTTTCCCACTGCTCAACTGCTCCCCACACTTTTTACTAGGTGCCCTTGGACAACTTACTTCCTGGTGCTTTTCCTTTTCTCCTCCACAATTGGGGAAAACCTAAAGGTGGCTTTATCTACAGCAATACTTTGCTTCTAGGCATTCCCTACACCCTGGCTCCTACAACACCACAGGCCTGCCAAATGGGCACTTGAGCCCATCTGAGAAAAGGGTGGACCCCATAAAAACCGAGTTGCCCTGGGCTTGGTGGCACAGCCTGTAATTCCAGGGATGCAGGAGGCTGAGGCAGGAGATTGACAAATCCAAGGTGGGCTAAATCCTAAGCAAATTAGCGAGATCCTGTCTCAAAAAAAAAAAGTTGCCACACTGAACACACTGGGAACTGCTTTTTGGACAGGGATAGCCTCCCAAGCAGATAAAAAAAATTATTGACACTGGATGAATCCAACCACGGAGCACAAGAATGGTGTCAAGAAAACTAAAGCACATGCTTAAGCTGAGGTGGAACACTTAAGATCAGGAGTTGAGACCAGCCTAGACAAAAAAGCAAGAACCCATGTGGGGAGGAGACCAAAGAAAGAAAGAAAGAAAGAAACAAACAAAAAAAACCCACCACCAAACCCACATGCCTCCTAACCCTACAGCCACTACAGAACCTAACCAACCCTCCTAACCCTACAGAACCACTGCCACCTCAGCTGTGCTAGTATGCTGAAGTCTACAGGAGGTGTGGGGAAACATCCTGCCTGCGCCAACCTGGCACCTCCACCCATAAACACCAACCCCAGAGCAATCACTTCTAAGACTCACTACCACAGAAGACCACAGTAGTCCTTGGGCCCTTAATATCCCACACTGTTTTATTACAAAGGTGAGCTCTCATCTCCATGATGGGCTTATCGGTAGGACTTCTGGTAGCGAGCACGAGCACCAGGACCTCCAAACTTTTTGGACTCGCAGCGACGGGGGTCAGCGACCAGCAGGGTCCGGTCATACTGGATGAGGATGTCTTTGATCTCCTTCTTAGAAGCCTCATCTACATCTGAGGAGATTAAAGAGTGTGGAAATTTAGAAAGTCCTGAATTTGGTCCCCAAACACCCACCCTGACTAAGAAGGACCCTCTCTCACTCACATTTCTGGTAATAGGCCACCAGGGCTTTGGAAATTGACTGGCGGATAGCTGTAAGGAAGAGACACAGAAAAAGGTATGTGAGCATGTGAAGGCCCAAGACTAGGGCCTTGCTACCAGGGCCACCTCATACCCATGTGTCCAGATCCTGAGACTCACCATAAATCTGGGCCACATGACCACCACCCTTCACACGGACCCGGATGTCCACGCCAGCAAACCGCTCCTTGCCCAGAAGCAGAACGGGTTCCAGTAACTAGAGAAATAGGGGGAAATGAACAGGGCTTTTAAGTTACAACTTCAGCACCTTAGCCACCTCACCGAGCATTCATTCTCTCCCTACTTCTGCCACCACCAGCCTCAAAGTACTACTGGAAGGAGATCCAGTTGTCACCAAAGGCCTCTGTATACAGCCAGAAGGAAAGATTCAAAAAGGCCAGATAGAAGACTAACACAAGGGCTGGGGTTGTGGCTCAGTGGTAGAGCGTTTGCCTAGCATGCGTGGGGCACTGGGTTCGATCCCCAGCACCACATAAAAATAAATAAATAAACCAAAAGAATACTAACACAATTGCAACAAACAGGAAAAGGCAAACTGATCTGAGCTCCTTCCTTTGTGTGTCCCTCTCTGGACCTCGGATATCCCCGCTTTAAGATGAGTTCCTAGAATACTGAACAGTAAGAAGCATTCTATGGCAACTACCAGGGCTGTTTTCCAATCATGGAAAACCTTTCTAGAGCTACTTAGGTAGCTTTTCTGAATTCTCAATTTCCAAAGAAGTTACAACTACACTGCGAACTCTGCCACATTCTTCCTTTCCCAACTCTAGTAGGTGTTTTCACCAGTGCCTATTTATACACTTTTGTTTGTAT